CACACGCCACCAAAAGACAACCATCCTGAGGGGACCAGTCGGCATTGTTGAGTAGGTCGAGTTGCATGATACGAGGACACAGTGCTGAGTGAAAGTGCTGGAGCAGGCGCGAAGACGAAATGAAAGAGGTTCGTGGTCGATGGAATAGTCGGTATGTGTTTCTAGCTTGGCGATCAGGTTGATTCTAAGTGAGCGAATATGATAAATTAGAGGATGGCGAGGTTAGGAGAGGATTTTCTTCCCCCTTCTGCAGTTGAGGGAGGTGATGGTGATACGTTGTGTATCACCCTCGATCAGTGTTGGCATTTCTGATTGCTCCCTTTTCCGACGGTGTCGGAAACGGGTCGTAAATGATTTCCGGCGTCAAAGAGTAATTCTATACTTAGGACATTCTTTGACGTTAAATAAATAATGTTATTTGTATGATATCTGTATAGAAATCGTTAAAAACAGTCAGCAATTTTTATGCATAGTGTATCTTGGCCGCAGCTTATAAAGACGGCAGCATGAAGTCCATATGCGGAGATAAATGATGTATTGCGCAGTATTATCATCTTGCCTCTGTCAACTTCAATAGTTTTATTGCTCGCCTATACCATGAGCCAAGATGGTTGAAGAAGCAAACCGCAATAAATACTCCAAGGATCAAAATATTCTAGCAGCAAGCTGCGCAATAATAAAGCGGAGCCTTGATGGCAAGATGTTAAAAGCTTCAAAGTATAAATATAACGGAAAGTAAGACAAGAATTGATGCCGCCGAAAAGATTCCTGAAAACAATATCCAGGTGATTGCAGTCATAACAGATTCGGCAAGTGCATATACTGCTCCTCGTTCACAATTGCGCCGCGTCAACCAACATATCGCTTGGCTTCCGTGTTTTGCCTATCAAATGAATCTTTGTATCGCAGACATGTTTAAGGCCTTTACTTCGCTAAAGGACTACGTTGCCCAAGCCGTCAAGGTAATTGAAGCGTTCAACTGTTCCCCATATTTGACCCGAAAACTTAAAGATCAACCAGACCAGTGCACGACAACGACGTAGGGTTACCTTGCAACAACCTGCAAGTACCCGATGGAACAGCCATCTCAACGCTTTCAGAAGCTTATGTGATACACAGATTGCATTGAAGGTATGTACCCATTTTAATTCGTAGTAATTCACGGTCAACTCGAACTTAATGCAACAAGTCATTAATTCATAAATATCTTCTGAAAAGCATACCGTATTGTCCTTGGAAGAAACGATGGATACTCGCTTGCCACCTGAGGTTGCAAACATTATTAAGGATGAAACTCTCTGGGCACACGTACAAGGATTGCAATCAATGGTCCAGCCTTTTGCCACCAGCCTCGATTGTTTGCAAAGCGACCAAGCAAGGCTGTATCATATTGTTCATCAGTTTGCGAGTATCATCCCGCACATCGTTGCAAACGATCATGTTAAGACGTTGCCGCAAGAACAGTTGAGTGCCTTTATCAGTCGATTGGAACGACGCTGGTATCAGTGGGAGCAGCCACTTTTGCTTCTGGCATTGTACCTGAACCCGAACTATCGTCTCAACAATATTAACACTTTCCTGGATCCTTTTCACAGAGACACCGAAAACTGAGACATATCTGTTCTCGAGCTTGGCTTGTGGGCTGCGCGGTACTTTTCTATGTGGATTGGACAGAAATCCCAGAGTATGATGGCGTTAATACAAAGATACCATGAGCAAGATTACCCATTCAGTGCAAATATGGCTAAGCAATTCCCGTCAATGGAGCGATATTGGGCTATGATGGAGCAAGCCAACCATGAGTGCAAGGATCTGGTGTTCGTGGCTCGCCGCGTGCATTCGAATGGCGTCCACTCAGCTTCCTGTGAACGGCTGTTTAGCGATATGGGATTCTATCACAGCAATCGACGAAACAGACTTTGGGTGGGACAAGGTGCTTAAAATTGCACAAGTCCGAGCAGTGCTACGAAAGGAAGACACGCACATGCGACGGATGCGCACTGAAACAACCACGCCCACACCCACTGCTCAACCCATGCTACACCCTCAGACAGTGTCATATAATAGGGGATCTATAGAGTGGATAGTTGTTCCCGTTGAGGGGTAGCCATAGCTTCGTTGGGAGCAGAGCGGCACATCCCCATGCCCATCCCACTCCTGACTCCGCTACCGGCAACATACCTTTGAACATGTGACTTGTATTTTTATAAACTTCAGAGGCTATCCATTTGGGCAGGTCTATTTGCACACGCCCTCATACACACCCCCAGTCACACCTAGGTAGGATTTCTGTTACACACACCCCGCTGACATTTCTTTCGTGCACACCCCCTCACACCCTTTTGACTGAAAATTGTGCAAAATATTTTAGTCATGCACATCCTTTATTAAAGTTACAGTAATGCAGCTTATTCCTGAAGCTATGCGAGCTTGCAATAAAGAAATGATCCAGCATAAAGTATATGCTTAAATAGAAATATATATGAAACACCTCTTTACCTATCATCATTGTATATGGGTATACATAGGACGGACAGTTATATTATTTAAAAATCCAGGAACACTTGAAGTGATACAAACGCGCTTTTATTTATTAAAATTTCTACCTACCTCATTACTGCTCATTAAACGCAATGTCAAAAACAATGACCTCCATTCCAGAAGAACTTAACACCGCATGGGATGGATTCGATGCCGCAAAGAGTGCCTGCTATGCATGGGGCAAAGAAAATGGTGTCTCGTTGCGTATTATTAGAAGTAATAAGACGGGAAATAAGAGGAAGCTCCAGATTGCTTGCAAGCATTATGGTGAGCCAGTCAACAAGGGCGTATGTGAAGAGCAGAAGACCACGACAAGACAAATGGTTATTGTAGATGACGAGGGCACAGCCATTGCATCATCCAAGGATAAAAAGATCGACACTCGTCAAAGGGACTCTCAGCGGTTTGGTTGCAAATTCGAAATGATCCTTCGTCCTTTGAACCAGACCAGCAACCAATGGCACATAGTCTCTTTCTATGATGGCGGTCATAACCATGAGTTGGCAAACGAGCTTTCGTCGTACCCAATGCTCCGTAGACTCGATCACGATGAGGAGGTCGTTATGTAGATGGTACAAGCGCATGCAACCAACAAAGCTGTATTGTCTTATCTTGCCAGCAAGAACAAGATTGCTCATCCTAAGGACATCACCAATCTTCGTCAGCGCATCTTCAACAACGACCCAGATCATGCAATGTTCCAGCTGATCAAAAAGCTTCAAGAAAACGAGTACGAAGTCCAATGGAAAGCAAAACAAGAAGGCGACAAACGCTTTTTGCAGTCTCTCTTCTTTGCGCACAGATCGGCAATCGCACTCGCTCGCCAATTCCCGGAAGTTGTTACCTTGGACGCCACTTACAAGACAAACAAGCACCGGTTGCCATTTATCAACATTGTTGGAACTGGCAATATTGGATATCCCCAATTGATGACTTTCTGCATTGCTGGCTGCTGGGTATCAGAGGAAAACAACGACAGCTACGATTGGGTGATTCGCAAGCTTCAAACTGTCGTTTGGCCACTTGCTCAGGTTTCGTCCCCTGGTGTGTTTGTAACAGACAGCGAATCTGCTTTGACCGGTGCTCTCGACCGCGTTTTTCCAACGGCGAAGAAGATCCTATGCAAGATGCATATACGACGCAACTTCAGGGTCAACCTACGCAAGCTTTTTGATGTCAAGGACTATTACGAGGAACTCGAGAAAGCTATCAATTTTTTAATGGCTAGTGAGTATCAACCACGATTTCGAACGAGAGGCTCGAAGAATAGGCAATGAAGATGTATGAGGAGGCTGCTCAAAAAGCAAAAAGACCCGACGTTGTCATGGACTATTTGCAAAGGTGTGTACAATTGAATAAGCATGGATTTTTTGACTACATGCTACTTGGACTTAAACACGTTTCTGCGTTATACAGAAAGCTTGCTTCAAAAGACAAGTGGGTAGGCAATTGCCTCACTCATGTAAAGCATTTCGGAAATGACAGCACAAATAGAGTCGAAGGAACGCATGCCAACATGAAAAAGGCAATCATGTCCTCAAGTGGCAATCTCCTAACTGCCTTTACGCAAATTGACGAGTTTTATCGATTGAAGGTTTATCTCTTATAGTAATTATATTGATCCATTAGTGACGAGGCTCTTACATGCTTTCTTCCTTATATTAGAACTTGAATTGGAAGCGCCAGATCGACAAGGAAAGTTTTGGCGGAAACTCGCACATCCCACCACAGCAAAAGCAGCGTTTGGCAGCTTTGGAACGTAAAATTTCCAAGTTCGCTTTCTACACCATCCGCGACGAGCTAACAGTCAATAATCCGTTAAAGACTGATCACTGCCGATGTGCAATCAAGTATCATTATGATATTCCGTGCTGCCATGTGCTTCCATCACAGGGTGAAATCCCCTTAAGCTTAATTCCCAGACGCTGGCACCTTTATCCTGAGAAAACGGCATCTCAAGGTAGCCATGGCTGTTATGTAAAAGCTGTTATATTTGTAACGTACAGTATCTGATTTTTGTTGTTATTAGGAGAACCAAACACAACGAGCAATAGCAATAGCAACAGTTTGGCGATGACTGGTTCATTTACAGCCCCAAGCCTGGAATCGCAAATCGAAGGAGAGCTCACACGCCTCAACAATCTTGTACACCGCTTTCCAGATAATCAACAACGTGCAACTCTCCTCGCGCACCTACAATCTATCAATGATGATATGTTCATTGACGTTGAGCAGCTTCAGCAGCCAAAATCAATCCCCAAAAGCACTCAAAAACCACAAAACAGCAGCAACAAGCGTGAGCTGATCGCTTTAGAGCATCAAGACTCTTAAAGCCGAAAGAAAGCAAACACCGACATTGGTCGTGATGCTGCAGCAATATGGTAAAGTTTTATGCATTAAGATGTATAGCCAATTCTTTACTTAAATTTTTAATATCTATAGGAACGGAAAGATGGAGCCAACAATAGCAAATGAAGCAAACAACATGGCGCTCACCATCCCTCCTCCTCCAAAAATTCGCTTTGTACCTAACCTCAACCTTGTTTGCAAATGGATTCCTCCACCAGCTGTTGAATTGGTGCATAATCCCATGCCAGACAGTAACTGTGGCTTTCGGGCCTTAGCTGTTGAGCTGTATAACACAGAGGAGCGATACGTCGATGTCAAGACCAAGATGCTCGATCAGTACCTCTCCAACGCCAATACGCTTTACCAATACTATGACAAGGGTCGTTTACTAAAAGTACTCGATCCATATTCAAGTGAATGGTTCGTCTCGCCTGAAAGCAGTCAAATTGCCGCTGATACGTTCGAAATGCCAATTGTTATAGATGGCGCACAATCGCACATTTTCTTCCCTTTAACAACCAACCCAGTACACGCCAAGCGCACCCACCCAATCGTCCTACAGCTTATTGGAACCACTTCATACTCGTTATGACCAAAAACGACGCAGCTATCCAGTGGCCTGAAATATTCCCTGAGGGTCGTGGACCACACAAAAGCATTCGCGATGATCCTTGGTATCCCCTTTTTGAAGATTCTTTTGAACGGTCTATTCGACCGTTTCCCGCGATTCCCAATGACGAAGAAGTGCATCCCATTCACGCATCTGATTCTGAGGGCGAAGACTTAACCACCTGTAACCGAAATAATTAATCAGCTATTTGACACTTGATCCTCTTACTTTTTCGCTACCTTTCTTACTTTCCCTGTCACTTTCTCTTTTTTAATTCTTTTTGCCAACACCTTATACTTAGACTAATAGACGAATCCTGTATCAATTTTCTTTATGCATTCTGCCAATTCTTTTCAGTCAAAAGGGTGTGAGGGGGTGTGCACGAAAGAAATGTCAGCGGGGTGTGTGTAACAGAAATCCTATCTGGGTGTGACTGGGGGTGTGCATGAGGGGGTGTGCAAATAGACCTGCCCATCCATTTCTCATACCCAAAAAAAGTATCTTCTTATTTAAAAAACGGAAAAACCAAAAACACAGTGTCAGCCTATGCGCGTACCCGGTATGGGGCTCCATTTATTGGCCCTCCATGCAACGTCCGCATAAGACAGGAAGCGCACACGTCCGCCCACGCAATGTGGCCCGATTGTTGTCCCCTTCTTATTTGCTGGCTGAATCGAGCCTGTGCGTGTACCTGGTATGGGGCTCCACTTAGTGGCCCTCCATGCAACGTCCGCATAAGACAGGAAGCGCACACGTCCGCCCACACAATGACCCAATCGTGGTCTCTGCGTGGCCCGATTGTTGTCCCCTTCTTATTTGCTCTTTTCAACTGTGTTGATTACGAATAGGGTAAGCCAAATGTGTTGGGAAGCGAGACGTGTTTTTGTTGATGTGGAAACTAAATGTTTGTTTGCCATCTCTCTTGATGGTTTTGTTCTCGAGACCCCTGGCTTGTGTCGCCCTATACTGAAAGCATACTCTGGCTGTCCATAAGTCACTCATGGCACAGTAAGCCATCGGATCCTAGTGTCAGATATCTATATCCTCGACCTTCGAATCGGATACCTGAGACGAAAAACATTGGAAAACAAGGGATGAACTAGATCGTTTTCCTTGGATCATCTCCAGCCTCTACTCCTTGCTTGACTTGGGACAACTTTTACACCATGCTTTCTTCTATCGCGCCTGCTTCAGTTTTAATTTGTGGCAGACGGATTTGAGACAGCAATAGCACCTCATATTGTCCAGCTTCTTGTCCGCTGGTGCAAATTTGATGATCTTGGTTCTCGTGAAGCTACTACGAAAGGTTTCCGGACAAAAGCAATAATCCGGTTAAATACCCAGTCTCAGTACTTCCAGATTTTCGTCCAAACAAGAATGGGGGCGCTTTTGGTCAATTTCTATGGCTGTACCTGTGCGCAACCTCTGGTTTCGGGCACTTTACCAAAAACTATCTTGCCGTGGTACGCTACGTCGACTTTTTCCAGTCGAATTTGACTCGAACAAATGTCCTGCGTGCGTCCATGGGATTGACGATTTTCACCACTTCCTTGCCGATTGTCCAAAAAAAAACGGCTCATATCGAGTAGATGATTACTGAGGACGACGAAAGGTCAGTCTTGCTTATCATACACCATCATCGTCACCGTCTTCGACAACAATAATGATAAGAAATGATATGAATCTCACCTCACATACGGAACATGTCATATGTTTCTTTCGTAAAAGCTTACCTATGATAAAATTGTGTTCAAAAGCATAGACAGGCGCCAAGACAAGACGTTGGTCGACATCTATTTTCAGCGTGGCTACGTACTTTTCTTACTGATGTGTTTTCCTCTTGCTGTTCTTTGAATGGAATCTGGATTAGTTTCTGGATGGCTCAATTCAAGATCCAGACGTTGCTCATGCCACTCCTAAGAATTACTTATACTTTATAGGTCACTTTGAAAGAGAGACACATCTAACACGTTTTTCGCGTACAGATCTACTTGATGCTCCTCCAATTTCCAAATTTCGTGACACACGTATTATTTGCGTTACTGATTGCCGTTTCGAAGCCCAGGGCATCATTGGCGCCACCGCATACATTCTAACCATAGCAGCACCCATCGTTCTATTGAATTGCTACGTATTTGTCAACTGTCTCAGGTTAGGCGTTGCCGGCATCTTCGCCTCATTTTTGTTCAATAACGCCATCACATTTGCATTATTGGTTCTGTACACGACCAAAATCGAAGGTTCTCAAGGCTGGAGTGGATGATCTTTTTTTACGGCATGTTTTCAAAACCTCAATTCCATCATGCATCCTTTTTGGCTATGCTGTTTTGGTGCCGTATGAACGAGTGGAGCACAAGCAGTGACTACGTTCAGTGTATCGTATCTGGGCACAGGTCAGCTTGCAGCGCAATCGCTTCTTTTATGTACGAACGAGTTCGACGCTTTTTTCCTTGGGAAGAGAGTTTCCAAACGCATTGGCCCGCAGACATACTTATCCGTACTTATTTACTTCGGATAAGGCCGTGGTAGAAGCTGTGGTTGCAGCGATTTTAATTTTTGTCTTGTCCCAAAAGGTCAATATGATTCGTTTCCTGAGCACAGGCGTATTGCAAGGACTTGGACGTTAAAACGTTACGGCCATAACATCGCTCACTTCGTACTTTGTAGTCACCATCCCCTTGTGCTACGTGTTTGCTTTCACGCTACAAGACGGTCTCATTGGTCTATGAGTTGGTCAGTCAATCAATTATCTTATTTGCACCTTGATCCAGTCCTTGTATATTCTGCTGGAATTCAGCTGGTCACAGGAGTCTCGAAGAGTCAGAAAGCGCATCAAGGCACAATAAAAAAAGCTCGACAATGAGAATATATTTTCGCCGTCTTCTCCTACTAACAGCAGACTACCTGCTCCAGCAAAAATCGAGAAGAATATGGTGCTACTAGTACACAGAATAGAGCGCATCGATAGCAAAACCTTTTTAAAAGCTTATGTGCTATATCGACTGTTGTTCTGGGGAGGCGGTCGCATTATACCTTACTTTAGTAGATTGCACTTATCGAGCTTGTCCATGTGTCTAAGCATTTTCTGCTCCGCCTGTGTTGCTGCTGCTTCCGGCACGAAAAAAAAAATAATTTTGGCGCTTTTATACGACACGCATTTTTCTTTTATTTTCACGATCTTTTTCGTTCCCAACGACATATACATTTTTTAAAAATGACATCAACAAACAACAGCATGCGAATTGAACAAGTCAAAAGCGCACCACGCGAACAACGTGTTGCTGCTCATTCACACATTAAAGGATTGGGTCTAAATGAAGACGGATCTGCTGTACACACACTTGGCGGCTTTGTTGGTCAAGAGCAAGCACGCGAGGTAAAAATTAACACTGCATTTTGAAATCCCCGATTTGACAAACGTCTAGATTCATGTCTGCTCTCTGGTACAATATTAAAAACGACTAACATGTTACTAGGCCAGCGGCATCATTGTAGAATTAATCAAGTCCAAAAAAATGGCAGGTCGAGCACTATTGTTCGCTGGCGCGCCTGGCACGGGTAAGACCGCCATTGCGTTAGCCATTTCACAAGAACTCGGACCCAAGGTGCCATTCCGACCCATTGTTGGATCCGAAGTCTACTCTTCCGAAATCAAAAAGACCGAGGTGTTGATGGAGAATTTCCGACGCGCGATTGGGTTGCGTATCAAGGAAACCAAAGAAGTGTATGAGGGTGAGGTGACGGAATTGACGCCCGAAGAGACCGAAAATCCATTGGGTGGTTATGGCAAGACGATTTCGCATGTCATTATTGGATTAAAGACCGTCAAGGGCACAAAACAGCTCAAACTGGACCCGAGTATCTTTGAGTCGATTCAGAAAGAACGCGTTATGGTCGGTGATGTCATTTATATTGAAGCCAATACTGGTGCAGTCAAACGTGTTGGTCGGTCGGATGCGTTTGCGACAGAATTCGATCTGGAGGCAGAAGAGTATGTTCCCTTGCCAAAGGGCGATGTGCATAAAAAGAAGGAAGTCATTCAAGACGTGACGTTGCATGATTTGGATGTTGCAAATGCTAAACCTCAGGTAAACAAACGGGTTTAATATATTGCGTGAACGAAAAGGCTTGCTAAGATGGAATTCGATGAAATGTCAATAGGGTGGCCAAGATATCATGTCGATGATGGGACAGCTGTTGAAGCCAAAAAAGACGGAAATCACGGATAAGTTACGACGAGAAATCAACAAGGTGGTCAACAAGTACATCGATCAAGGCATCGCTGAGCTGGTTCCGGGTGTGCTGTTCATTGATGAGGTTCACATGCTGGATATTGAATGCTTTACCTATCTCAACCGAGCCCTTGAATCGCCTTTATCACCTATTGTCATTTTTGCCACCAACAGAGGCATGTGCACGATCCGGTAAGTTGCAGTAAAGTGGTAAAACATCTCTTGTTAGATGTGTCGGGCAGGAGAGTAATAGTAAACCATATGTATGTAGTGGCACCGAGGATATCATAGCTCCTCATGGTATTCCTATCGACTTACTCGACCGCCTCCTGATCGTCCGCACACTTCCATACACCATTGACGAAATCAAGACGATTGTTGAGATTCGAGCACGAACGGAAGGTTTGACAGTAGAGGAATCTGCTGTAGATCACATTGCTGAAACTGGCGTCAACACGTCATTGAGGTATTTATATTCGAGAAACAAGAAAAAAACTTGGCTCTCTTGCTCGTGCAGCAAAACAAGCCTCTTGCGCGCTCTCTCTCTCTAACCCAAACGGGATTACTCTAGATATGCGGTACAACTCTTGACACCTGCTAGCGTACTGTCACAAATCAATGGTCATGAAAGCATAGCGTTGGATGATGTCCGGGAAGTGGATGATTTGTTCTTTGACGCGAAAAAGTCTGCAAAGCATTTGGTAGAACAGGATTCACAATTTATCGTATAAAAATACACATACGCTTCTTCTTCTTCTACCTTATTTGATTGTCATACATAAAAGAAAAAAAATTACATATAAACAAACAATCAAAATCAATCAACCTTTCCCCCCCTCTTTCTCTTTCGCTTTCTTTTCTCTCTCTCTCTCTCTCTCTCTTTCTAACAACTTCGTAGTGCTGCGATGATGGTGGATGTTATCGAACCAGCAGCAGCAGTAGCAGCAACAAAAAAATCCATTGTTGATGACACTGTTGGTCCTATCGTCTTTGCTCATGCTCCTCCTACCAAGCAAGAGAAAGCAGCAACGACTCACCGGCAGCAGCAGCTTGGCGACAAATTCCTTACGGTGGTACACGGACTCGCACTTTCAATGGGTGTGTTGGTCGACAAGCGCAATTTTTTTCAAGAATGGATGACCTATGACTCTGTCAAATGTGTTGTCAACTATCCGCTGCGCCGCATCAGCTTGTATTTCAAATTCAATCAACAAGACTACAAGGCCGAGTTTGAGTTTAAAGACATGGTCAACGGGGAAATACTTGCTGATGACTTGTCCATCAACAGAGCTCGTAGTAGTAGCGGTGCCAACAAGAAAGGAGAAGAAGGAGAAAGTGGCGCCCGCAAGGCGGGAAAGAAAAAGAACAAGAAGCAGCAACCGTCAAAGGACAAAGCCAGCCAAGTCTTGTTTTTCACGTTTCATCTAAAGTACCCACCCGAGTATTGGCGTTTGACACACCGTGGTTCTACCATGCAGCAAAACCAATGGGCGCGTGTAGCACAAATCCCTGTCGACGCTGCTGGTAGTGACGGCGATATTGTCACATCATGTGAGCCTCTCACCGTTGGCGCTGACGACGACGGCGCGGCTGATCAACATCAACAACTGTTACCTGGCGATGGAAGGAGGATCAAATATATGCAGCTCGGCACCTGGATTGTACTCCGAATGTCCTTTAGCACCAACTCGCCAGTGCGCAAGGCGTACGATGAAGTCATACAACGTGGCAAGAATTATCGACTGGTTCGAGAACTGTATCCGAGAAGACGACTCATACCCACCACTGAAAGCGCGACGTCACAGCAGCGACAATCGAACCGACAAGTCCATGAAGATATGAATGATGAAAAAGCAGCGTTCAGCAAGTATTACGTTCTCCACGGGTATATTTCACGATATCAACTCAACAAGCACGAGTTGGATGGTCTGTTCTATTCAGAGTATGCAAAGCTGTCTCCAGACAATGCTAACTCGGCACTACAGCTTATGCTGAACACAATGACCATGGAGCATGGGCATCGCAAGACGCCTGGGCAGTTACTCAAGCAGATTACTGACCGATACTTTAATCTGAAGCCAAAGTCGTCTTCACAACAACAACAGCAGCAACCATCAGCAGCAACGCCTCAAGATAACGAAGAAGCAGACACGGGAAAACAAGCAATGACGACGACGACGAAAAAGAAGAAAAAGAACGAGGAACCACCACGACTGATCAAGGTCAACAAGATCACCATCACTCCTACAACGATCCGGATCGAACGGCCACAGATTGAACCGCCGAACCGCGTGTTGCGTCAATTTATAGACAAGTTGGATCGGTTCATACGTATCCAGTTTGCCGATGAGAACGGGGCACGCGTGCACATCTCGCCCAAAGCATTGCACGACAGCGAAGCCATCTACCGACGCATCGCGTATGTGATACAACATGGCCTGATCGTGTTTGGTCGCCACTATAGGTTTTTGGCCTTTTCTCAGTCCCAGTTGCGCGAACATGGATGCTGGTTTTTTGCAGACAAGGACGGGGCATCGACAGCAGATGAGATCAGAAAGTGGATGGGTGATTTCTCAGGCGACAAAGTCGTGGCCAAGTATGCTGCCCGCATGGGACAATGTTTTTCATCCACACAAGCCATTCAAAAACTTCATACGAAACAGGTCGACCAGGTGGACGACATTGAGCAAAACGGGTTCACGTTTTCTGATGGCGTAGGCTTGATTTCTGTCAACCTTGCACGCACCATTGCCGCTCGTTCCTATCAATCCGCAGGAAAAGTAGCAATGGCGAATAAACACTTTTTATTGCCAAGCGCATTCCAGTTTCGTTTGGGTGGCGCAAAGGGCGTGTTGACCGTCGACTCGTTTAACCACCTAGCGGACGGAAAGGATATCGCGTTACGACCGAGTCAAATCAAGTTTACTTCGACACACAAAATGTTGGAAATCAATCGGCCTGCACACGCGTCATTCACATACTTGAACCGTCAAATCATCTTGTTATTATCCTCGCTGGGTGTACCCGATGACATTTTCATGGAACTGTTACAAGTCATGCTCGGACAGTTCGACAAGATCTTGGCAGACCCAATCCAGTGTACGTTGATGTTGCGCAGCCATCATTCAGATGAGTTTGGGATTCACATGGAGATGGCCAAATTGGTCAATGCTGGCTTCTTGGAGGAAGGCGATCCCTACATTACGAATCTGATCAAGGTGTTTCGCTCTAGCAAGTTTAAAGAGGCCAAGAAACGTGCCAAGATCTACGTGCCTCAGGCGGCTTCGGCGATTGGTGTGTTGGACGAAACCAAAACGTTGAAGCCGGGACAGATTTTTGTTCAGTTGTCGGGTGGCATCAACGATGGTGAAAAAAATGGCAGCGGCGGCAAGAGCAAGAAGAAGAACAAGAAGAACAAAAAGAACAACAAGAATATCCTTCAAGGACCATGTGTGGTGTATCGTTGTCCAAGCTTGCATCCAGGCGATATCCGTATGGTTGAAGCAGTCGATTGTCCAGCGCTCCATGGTCTGCATGATGTGATTGTGTTTTCGGCTCAAGGAGAACGCGATATTCCCAGCATGTGCTCAGGAGGTGATCTGGATGGAGATATCTACAGGTATACCTTTGTAGTTTCACTTTAGTGTTCTGTGGAACTCATATCTAAACATGATGGTAGCGTTATTTGGGACGAGCGGTTGTTTCCAGCAACCAAAGACACAAAGCCGATGCATCACATGCCTGTCCCGATGCGTCAAATTCAAGGCCGCAATGTAGAGATCGACGACGTCAAGAAGTTTTTCCTGGATTATATCATCAACGACAATTTGGGCATGATTGCCAATGCTCATATGGCGCTTGCCGACAGCTCCCCGGATGGTGCATGTGCAAATGAATGCATCGAGTTAGCCTATCTACATTCAGTTGCTGTTGGTAAGTAGCATGTGTTAGTGTGTGTGGGGTGTGATAAGCGAGGGACAGAGGGAGAGGGGGCGATCCACCAGAAAGCGGCAACTCCAGAAGAAGCTTCCATTAATAACACTCCGGGATTGCATTTCTTGTGATTAATTGTGCATACAACATGTTATATTACACGCATACATGATACATGCATGCATGGTTTATCCTATACATGACACTGTACTACAACAACCACAGATTTTCCGAAAACAGGCGTAATTGCTGAGCTAAGCGACACCCTCAGAGCGAAATGGTACCCTGACTTTATGGAGAAAATCGACAAACCTGTTTACAAATCGACCAAAATTTTGGGCAAGCTCTACCGAGAAGTCGACGCAGAAACGTTCCAGTACTACAAACAAGATTTACACGAGTCATTCTATCTTCAGAAAGACGGCAAAAAGATAATGGAGATGAAATACGATACGAGGCTGTTTGTAGACGGAATGCAAAAATACATCCTGGCGGCGCGTGAACTCAAAGAAAAGTATGATCAGCAGCTGCAAGAATTGATGGACCAGTTTGGCGTGGCTACCGAGTCCGAAATCGTCTCGGGTTCGATTGTAAAGTGGCTCAAACGCATGGATGGACCCGAGAAGTTTCATGAAACAAGGCATCAAGCGCAACTCCAAGTAACACGGCTGCGCGACGATTGGCGACGAGCCCATTTTCCTACACTAAAGAAGGAGCATGGTGGCTATTATACAGGAGAACAAAAACATCAAGATATGTGCAAGGCTGCGGCATGGTATTATGTGACCTATCATCCCACAGAGTTCCAGAACTTGAAAGCTTCGGCAGCCGCAGCAGTAAATGAAGACAGTCGACTTTACCAAGGCTATCTAGACGAAGACTACGGCGGCGGGCAGCAAAAGAAAAAGAATAGCAGGAACAAGCAGCAGCAAGCACAACGGATGTTGAGCTTTCCATGGGTGGCGCATGAAATTCTGTGCAGACTCGCCAGGGTCAATCCACCCTTGGAGGAACATGCCCGTGCTATCCCAGAATTGGAGATTTTGTCACTTGGCGGTAACGACAACAGGAACAGGGGCAGTCGTAGTGCATCTGATGCCATTGTAACCCGTAGTGGTAACGGTCGTCGTCGTAAAAGCAGCCGTATTAGTTCTGGTAGCAGCAGCAGTGGAAGTAGCGGCGGTGCTATCAATTCTGCTGGTGGTGCTAATGCATCTCCTTCTGCATCCTCCTCATCTTGTGCGTCCTCCTCTTTTGCTTATTGACAACAATGATTTTTCATTTTCAAGGGATAGCAGTGCTATACCTTGCTTGCCTAAGGGAAAGAGAAACGCTGTATCTGTTTGCTGGTACACTACCAAGGAATAAAGTTTTCCAAAGCTGATAACACTACCACAAGTGTTTTTTGACTTTTTGTGTTCCCTCGATTTTTGCACCCGACATCAGTTGAGTTGAGCGTAGGTGTACACAACAGCAGGCACTGCAGCCTTTTTTTTTTCTTTTTTTTTTTTGGTTGCTCTCGGGCGGGCTCAACCCCTAAACTCTTTCCTTCTTCTTCTCTCTCTTTCTCACTTTTACTACAAAAGACCTCATGAATGGGGAGGGTGAGGCATCGTCGACATTGGACAGTCATTTACCGTTCCAAGAAACATATACCCTGCGTCATGATATTCCGTTTATGCTTCCTCAACAAGTACTAGCGACGTCAACGATACCCGAAGAAGAGGAAGAAGAAGAGGTCGACGACCATGGCGAGCAGCAGCAACAACATAGGAGAATGATGATGATCATCGAAGAAGAAGAGGAAGAAGAAGAAGAGGAGGAAGGTCCTGCTAGTGTACGTGGCGATAACGACGACGACGACTCAAATCTAATAGGCCACAATAACAACAACAACAACAATGAAGAAGGACAAGACAATAACCTAGTGGATATCGCCAACCGAGCATTCATGTTGACATGCAAAAAGTTTGCACGTCAAAGCTATCCAGAGTTTCGACGACGTCAAGCGTATTCTTTCCTCGAAAACTGGTATCTGCATAGCATGTACAGCAAATCTCAGCAAATCCTACTTGGCATTTCACAAGCAACGGCCGTCGTACTATTATCTGGAGACGATTTCATGTTTACGCCACAGCTGGTTCAGCAGCAACATTTTGATCGGATGCAACAACAACAGTTTGATTATTGGCAGCAAGATGAGGATGATTATGCGTATGACGACGACGATGACGATGACGATATTGACGGAGGAGGAAGACGACGACGAGTAGATGATGATGATGATGACGATGACGATGACGATGACGACGAGGATCATATTTTTTATGTCCAAACAAGTGGTGGCAGTGTCACACCAACTGCACCATCGTTGTCCGCATCTACTGTAGCAACAGAAATAACGACCGATACGACGACAGCGGTTGCTGCAACGGCAAAGAGCAGGGTGATTATGGATGAAAACATGTGGATGGGTAGTAGTCGACATCAACAACAACAACATCATCATCATACTGAGCATGTCAACGGAGAGGACCGGAATCATAATACCAATATTGAGGAAACAATCAATGACGGAGCGACGATGGAAGAAGAAAGGCAAGAAGAGGCATTGGAAGGAGAATACACAGCTCTATCGCCCGAAGTCGTGCATTGGTATCGATCAGCACCGTTTAATCAACGGTTACGACGGCCATCTACTATCATGGAAGAGGAAGAGGAAGGGGAAGGGGAAGATCAAAAGCAACAAGCGACAACAAATGCTAGTGTTACTGCGGATAGTACAGAAGAAGAATACCAATCCATGGCTGATATCATTCCATCGCCACCGTTACCTACCCAGCAACAAAACCAGCTACGACAACAACAAGAAACAGTCATCACGATACCAACAACAACTTTATTAGAGGCAGTTGCAGATGATAATAACAAGAACGAGCAACACCAACGAACAAAGTATGGAGCAACCACTGTTGCGGTTCCATCATCATCATCAACAAGAACGCCGAGAAACAACAACAGCAGCAGCAACAGTAGCAGGGCAGTACAAATAATGGCGGTCACAGAAGAAGAGAACGGCGGAGACAACGACGACAACGACGACGACGAGAATCGTAGGGTAATACGAAACTATTTTGACACATATTACGCATCCACCCGAATTGCGGACACAGCTTGGCTCGTGCTCGAAGCAGCTGACACGCTAACATTGGAGCAACAACAAAAGAACAAGCCAATATCAATCCGGCAATTTACGCGCTACATGTTTGGTATCTGGCGGATATTCTTTCTCTGCGTTGAGTCAGTGTTATCTGACGTTGGCGGATTGTTTATGATTGTAAAAAAGCCAACATCATCACCATCATCAATACCACCAAGCAAGGCATCACCATCACCACCGTCACTAGTAGCATCGTCAACGTTTCCTTTTCCTCACCAACAACAAAAGTCATTTTTATCAAAAGCATCTCCATCTACTACTACCACTACCATTACTGCTACTCAGCATCCATCACAACAGCAGTCTGATCCTTCTTTAGTCGTTTGAAACTCGCACACCTAAAAGCTTTTTTTTTCCTGCCCTCCACAACGCACACTACCTGCACGTATATACATCTCCCTATATTACACCCTATATACATTTGTCTATTGTATAGTTTTTTCTTTTTTTTTTTCCGTCGATGCATCTTGCATTTCGGAAATGGTTTCCATCTGTTCTTTATTTGTATATTGTATTGTTTTTATAATCAAAAAGAAAACAAGAGAAAGAGAGACTGCATTTTCATCATTGCTGGTGCTGCTGTCACTAACTCCCTAGGGTTCTCTCTCCTGTATATATGTGTGTATGACGTGTTTGATCCGGGATCAGCCGTAGCAGTAGGATATACATATGACTGACAGATCTCTACTTGCAGCGAATTGCAGCATTCTAGATATGGGCATTCAAGGTTTAGGCTTTACAGTATAGACATCATCAAGTCTTACATGGGGCAGTCTATATTATGTATTGTGCATAGTTGGAGAAAGCGAGCAGTATGGTACGATACAGGGCTCTTGATGCAATACTAAAGTAGTACTTATACTCCTTCATCCCCGCATGTGGTGATAGATACCATGGTGTGTTTTTATTTCCACGGGTTATAGTATGATTCCAGTGCACGCTCTCGCCGTTTGTTGGTGACGCACTACTACTATTAGTAGCGACTACTTGCTCAGGTACGGTTTAGATCAGCCCATGCTCCACCTATTCATGTCGCACAAAACGGGGTCCTGTCGGCTCCTTGAGAAAAGAAAATCACCCGATTTTTATGTTTGCACAGAACATTTTAGGTATCCGACAACCGGAAAACGGTTTTCGCTGCATGACACAATTAGAAGGCCGGAACACCATAACCACAAACACACAAGCACACCTACGCGTGTAATAGACGATCCCCGTCATTTTCGTAAACACACAAAAACAAGACATCGTTAGCGCATTCTCCTCTTTCTCTTTCTTTTCTATTCTCTCTTCTTTTTTCAGATTTACACACAACACACAATAAATGTCTGGAAGTACGCCTACTACTACTGCTACTAATACTGAACCCACCACGCAACAAATCGATTTCTTGATCGTGGGCGCTGGTCCTGTCGGTCTCTTGGCTGCCAATCTCATTATACAAGCTGGTTTTTCGGTGCGTATTCTTGACGTCGAATATGAACCAAACCATTGGGGACGGGGTGACTGGATCCATGGTCGTACGTTGGAACTTTTAGAACGTGCAGGATTGGCCGAGGAGCTCCTAAGCACTGGTGTCAAGGTAGACCAGATTGCATCGTACATGAATGGTGAGCTACAGTCAAGCATTCCTTTTGTACCAGACGAGGTTGAATCAAAGCATCAGTAGGTTTTTCTATCTCTCGTACTTTTGTAGACCCGGGGAAGAAAGGAGGAGAGGTTATTGATAAAAACAAACAAGAATGATGAAGGGAGGGAACTAAACACCAACATCAATTTTGCAGATACCTTTTATGCGTTGGTCAGCATATCACAGAAACCAGCCTCCAATCAAGCTTGACAAACCAAGACGTTGAGGTAGAACGACCTGCGACAGTGATCAATATCATTGACGGACCGGATGCCAACTACCCTGTTCGAACCACAGTGATGCATCTGCGCGATGAAGCCCGGACGGAGCAGGTAGACTGCAAGTATTTGTTGGGCTGTGATGGAGCACACAGTGACATTCGCCAACAGCTCGGGATCCAGACCGAGGGCGAGACCACAGAGACGCATGCAGGCGTGATTGATGCTCTGGTTAGAACTAACTTTAATGCGGGACGAAAAGATGTGTGGTAAATATTTGTCGCTGTTCACACTACTACTGCTTCTTACTATTGCCGAAGACTATGATGAAAAGCCCAATTAAGTCCCTTCTCTCTTTTCATTTTTGTATATTTGTATTAGCATGCTGCAAAACGATGTGGCGAAAACCATCAGCTTGTTTCCCCGCGAGAACGGATTGACGCGGATATTTGTGCATTTCGACGAAAACGAGCTGGAAATGAGAAAGGAACAATACAACCGTAACAAGATACAACTGGAGGACATTCAACGTGAGGCAAAAAGGGCTCTGCTTCCAAACCGACTCGAGTTTTTGGGCATTCTATATTGGTCCGTCTATGTCGTCGGTCAACGGTTGGCTACTCAAATGGATGCTATGCGCCAACGGGTCTTTCTTTGTGGTGATGCTGCTCATTGTCAAAGTCCTACCTTGGGTCAGGGCGTCAACACTGGCTTTGGCGATGTATTCAACTTGGTAAATGTAGTGATGATGCATCCATGCGTGTGTGTGTAACAGAAAAACTGACATTCAAAAAAATTAAACAAGGTTTGGAAATTGTGCATGGTGGAACGAGGCGTGATCAAGCGTGACATTTTGTCGACGTACACAGCCGAGCGTAAACCTGTGGCACAACAGGTGTTGGCTGTAGACAAGGTGGCTGCCAAAGCAGCAGCAGGCCATCAATCCTCTAAGGAATACTGTAGCATCGTACAAGAACATCGTGCATTCACCACTGGTTTCGGTATCCAATATCGAAACAGCAACAGCAACAGCGAAACGAACAAGAACCCATTGCTGCTCGGTAGCAATAACAGTAAAAACCAAGCACTAGTACAGACAGGCATGCGTGCACCCAACTTCAAAGTGTTCCACTATGCCACTGGCCGCAAGACCCGTCTTTTCGAAAAAGTACATGGCGACTGGCTCGCATTCAATATGCTTGTTTTAGCGGATGATTTGGTAAAGTCCCATGCTGCTGTCGAGTCCTTGTTGCAATGGAAGCACCCGGCCTTGTCAACACAAATTGTGATCACCACTACACCGGCAGACAAGATTGAGTCTGAAGGTATCTTGGCGGATATGAAGGATCGTATCATGTTGGACAAGCTGAACCGTGCTCAAGTACATGCTGCGTATCATAGCAACAACAACGAGGAGGACGTGCAGGCAGTGATCGTAAGACCGGATGGATACATTGGAGCCATTGCGGGTGGCTCAACGCCAGACGAGCTCGTGGGTGCTGTGAAAAAGTACTTTGATGGATTTACTGCCTAGTAGCAGTAGAGATTACATTAGAGCTTCTGCCACATAGAGAAACAGAACATCTTAAATAACAACACAAAAGTCCCCACCCCTCCCTCGATTTCTTATAGATATTATTTGTCTCTCATTTTTTTTCACAACTTACACTATTCCCCCCTTCTCTTTTGATCTCTCTTCTTGTTTGTCTTTTATATGCATATCTGTTTGTTTTCTATACATTTTTTCTCCTTCCCTGTATACCACACATTCACCATTGAAGATAGTCCCCTTTCTTATATACAACAGTAGCAGCAACAACAAAAATATATGTGTCTAACAATTGTTGACGTTTATCTACGCTTTGTTTAATGTCCAGTTTTGATACAAAGCAGCATGCTTGCTACAAACCAATGTTGATCTTAATCGCTTTCACTTGGGTATAATCAGACAAAGCGTATTCACCACACTCACGACCCAATCCACTATCATTATAACATAGATTGCGACGTCGAGTTAGACTTGATAGAGAAATAAACAGTGTTCACAGGTAACGAAGCATACTGTACCTTTGCTTGTATCCACCAAACGGACTTTCTGAATCTACTTGCATGTACCAGTTCACCCATACAGTGCCTGCTTCCAATGCATTAGAGGCTGCCACTGCTCGTGTGACATTGGACGTAAACACTGCCGCTGCAAGTCCATAGCTCGTATCATTTGCCTGAGCAATCACTTCATCCTGGTTCTTGAACTTGCTGATAACCACCACAGGGCCAAATATCTCTTCGCGCATGATTCTCGAACTGGGTTCGACATCTAAACAAAACAAACAGTTCCTGTTCAGACAGGTTCTCGTGTTTGGACGACGATTTGATGTATGATACCTGTGAAGATGGTGGGCTCAATAAAATAACCAGAATCTCCAATGCGGTTGCCACCATGATAACATGTAGCGCCTTCTTTCTTGCCGATATCGATATAGTTTAAGACACGCTTGAGCTGATCCTCAGACACTTGGGGTCCTTGTTCAGAGTCTTCGTCGCCAAACGGACTACCAACCACTCTTTTTGATGCCATGGCTCTGAATTTTTCAAGGAAGGCATCATAAATGCCTTCTTGAACCTAAGAGTTGTTGCATCCAACTTTTAATCTGAGAGGTAGTAGCACATACAAATAAGATATTCAACAGAGTTTGTAAGACTTACGTAAATTCGAGATCCAGCAAAACATACTTGACCACCCAATACATAAACGCCATTCAACGACCACCAAACGGCCTGATCCAAATCCTCCACATCATCAAAAATGATATTGGGAGACTTGCCACCCAACTCTAGTGTGACCTTTTTCAGGTTCGTTTCTGCAGCCGCTTTGAGGACAGCACGACCTGTAGCCGTCGAGCCGGTGAACGCCAGCTTGCGTACTCTCATGTGACGAGCCAATGCATCGCCTGCCAATTGGCCATAGCCAGTAACAATGTTAATCACACCAGGTGGGAAGCCAACTTCCTTGATAAGTGTAGCTATTTTCAGTGCAGACAGAGGGGTCAGTTCGGATGTCTTGACAACAATTGTGTTTCCACAGCATATGGCAGGGGCAATTTTCCAGGCAAGCATGAGTGCCTGCAGTAGCAATTAAAATGAATTTGAGCTGAATTAAACTTTTTTTTTTTTCGAAACTTACTCCCACATTCCAAGGAATGATACCGCCACAGACACCAATGGGTTCATGCACGGTATATGACAGTTTGCCTTGTGTCTCAATGACCTTGCCATGCAATTTGTCACAAAGACCTGCAAAATAACGTCTATTTTTTAAACAGTATGATAAACGATTATTATGCGATCCCTTGGGGAGGATACTTTAACCCCCGAAATACCCACACTGTACTTACAATTGCGAAATGATTAATGGAATTTCAACAGCATTTGAAAATCCAAACGGTTTTCCGTTATCCAAAGCCTCAATTTGAGCCAGATCTTCAGCGTCCCGTTCCACGAGATCAGCGAGTTTATTCATAAGACGTGATCGTTCTCTCGGGTTGCTTGTTTTCCAACCACCGCCATAAAATGCCTTTTCGGCCGCATCCACTGCCAAATTGATTTGTTCGGCTTCAGCTAAAAATAATACATATTGTGTTGTTGTTACTTAACGAGACCATTCCGTGCTTAAGTTGTTGACAAGAGATTAAAGGTTAAAGTGTCTAGCGCAACGCTAAAATAAATCTCGAATGTTTACCAGCTTCGACTGATGCGATAACTTGGCCAGTAGATGGATTTATCGTATCGATGGTACCTGCACCCTTGACAAATTCGTTGTTAATGAACAAGCCAGTGTTCACTTAAAGAAGGGACAAGAGTTTAACAGAACAATGTTAGTTTTCCTCTCGGTTTCATTGCTATGAATATGGATGATGTGCATAGTGATCGAGACGACTTACAAGTGATTTTGTAGCCTTTTGGCGTAACGAGCTCGATTTCAGACATTACTGCTGCTGTTGTCAGTATAAAGAAAGTTGATGAATGAAAAAAAAAATAACGAAAGCGGGATCTTCCTTTATATATACTTCACAAAGCGGCGGGCGAGCTAAAAACAATCTGGTATCATACCTATTATAATCACTTTTGCAGCGAAAAGAGTTTAGCTGATCTTTTTTTCTCTCTCTATTTCTTTGTGTTATGTCGTGTTTTCCCGCTCACCTGAGGCTTGCTCGTAGTTTGCAATGGTCAGAGTATTGAAGATCAGCATGCACTACCGATAACTGCGGAAAATCCAAGGCTAGCAACTTACTAGTACATATGAGGCTCACGTCATATCTAGGTGCAAAATTACGTGGGATAGGTACAAAGAAATTGTGTATCGATCAAAGAACAAAGAAAAAAATAAAACGGCGTTTTGTCTGAACAACACTGCATACATGAATGCTTCATACAGGTGTTATACTGGTAATAATCCTTGTAGACATACATGCTAACGACGTTTTTTTGTGACTTATTTCACACAGATTTTATTGACCTGAATTATGAATGATACTTGCAACAACAGTAACAATCTCAATTGCTGCTTTGTAAATGCGTATGATGTGCTATGTTTTATAAAACGACAACCGCGGTAACGAAATCAGCTATACCAGTAACCTGATACAAATGTATCAAATAAACGGAAAACCGAAAGAATGGGTGTATCTATCGCCGGTGCACATTGTATCCAGTGCTACTGAGAACAGTTCCCTGTTGTGCTACTTTTTATTTCTGCGTCACGCGGATATATATGCACACATACTTCTTTTGAATTAAAAACACAATTGTACTGAAACAAGAAGGTGACTAGGATGGCTCTCGGTTTTATATAAAGCGTTTCTTATAGATTAAAATACTTGGAGCCAATAATCTCATAATCATGATGTTGAAGACTACGGTTATAAATTGTCACTACTGGACTTAGTAACGGTGTACAAAGTAGTATATATATAGCCATGTAGGGCGATAGGGCTTGTTTTTGCTTTACACGGAAAATGGATATTTCATACACACTTACTCACGCGCGCGCGCTTTTTGTAAAAAAAGTTTTAGCTGTTACGAATATAATCGTATTGAAAATGTCTACGTTTGAACAAAACATAAACAATTCGATCAGCTTTTTTCTTCTCGATGTATGATCGTAAATAAATCTTGGTCTTTCTTCAGACATTCTGTTTAGAGAGCTGTCATATCAGCAAATCTAAGAACAACTTTATCAACCACGCTTTTATTCAACAATATACACTCCAAACGCATGATCTCATAAAGAGATATCACATATCAAATAGCGGCAAGATATACGTCCTCAGCCACTTTGTGACACTTGAATAGAGTAAAGATTTCCAAACTAATTCTTGATCTCAGTCTTAAAACATCGTTGTGTACTACTATACTACCGGAAAATGCCAGCCAGGCAGGCACTTCTACTGGTTAGATGTGTATATACGTGGCGACTATTTCGGTTGGCAGCAGTATCATAGAGCCACTGATCGTTTTACATAACGTTGTACGCGGTACGGTGTCTTTCCAACGTCGCCTGGTGGCTGCGTATACTGTGTTCTACATGTTTAGTGGTAATAATAATGATTGTATTGTGAAAACCATCATGCAGATTTTCTCTCACAAAACAAGCAAAGAGTTTTAATCCTTCATCGTCATAAACATATGCAGGTGCATTTGTGAGCTGATATACAGAAATTAGTAGCAGAGAAAAAAGATAGAAGAAAAGGGATGGGAGTGGTCGGTGGTATAGGCGAAGGAGACAAAGTAAAGTGGAAAAGCTACTACTGTACACGTTATATTAGTAACCACTCACACCCTGCGTACTAATTTAGTCAATGATAGATTATTCTGTGTAAGCACAGAAACACTATTGTCTGGAATAGATTCGATACTTTTGTCCCCTTCTGCTGCGACAAGTCGAAGATAACCATCAACTACTTGCGTATAGCCCCCTGTAATCCGTATTACGCCTGCCAAATCTATTTTATATACCAGGTATTGTTGAAGTTGATGAATTATTGGAATCGTGAGTTAGTGAATGAATGCTTTGTCGCATTGAAGTAACAGCATATGTACTTCATTGTAACAAGTCAATCTGTCAACTCACCTTGTTGCGATTTCAAAATGATGCAACCAGTAGCATCACCTACCAGGTGTTCATATACTCGAACAGTTTTGGCGCCATCTATAAGAGTAGTTATATATGAGTTGAAGGGGGTAATATAAAAGCAATATTAGTAAAAGAGGGTGGCGCGGGTATTTATAAATTGTGTTTGTTTCTTACCATTAAGCTCGACTGAAACAATAGCATTTACGACTTTAACAGCAATGTCGATGCCATATTGATCAGGTGCTAATGAATCGACTGTAATGGTGTGTGCTAAAAATTCAATCTTGTCATTCTACAGGCCACTACTATTGAAGAGGATTTACCGTTGAATAAATCAGTTACCTGCAGGCATTGACTATGAAGAAAAAGAGAGACAGAGTCTATCGGTGACCACTCATAGTAACGCGTGTATCGTGTCCGAATTCAAGCGCTGATCTGAAGAACCAAATTTTGCTTAATGCCGCACTACAAACCTTTTTCCGGTAACCCTCTGGATGTGTATCAAACTCGATTTTTATGCTATATCAACATCCACCTGCCTCGCTTCGCTCGGCTAAATGAGCCCCTTCGCTGCGCTCCGGGTCATTCAACGGATTGGATGTTTCCTGGGGGTTCCCCCCACACCCCCAAGGTGGGGGGTTCCCCCCCACACCCCCTTCTAAACCCTAACCAAAGCTCGCTTCGCGAGCTTACTTACTGCTACGCCTACCTACAACCCGAAACTCGTTCGCCTCGCTCACTGCTACAACTGCTACTACACTAAACCCTACAGAAGTTAAAGATAGCGGACTACAAGTTTACTAATGGCAGGCATTGTGCGAAAGAAATAAGAAATCTAAAATGATATGTATACAAAAGTGAAAGTATAAGAGCAGGAAAAAGAGTAGGGAGAAAGGGCGAGGTCTAAGATGTAGCAGCAGTAGCATCGTTGTCTGTGTGTGTTTGGGTTTGAGGTGGTGATTGTTGTGGTGGGTGTAAGAGCACTTCGTGGTAAACGATGTTTGTCGTAGCAGGGACATCTGTAGTGGATAATTCTGACATATCGACAGAAATACGCAAATTATCTGGGTTGGTTGCTCGTGAAAGAGCAACATACAATTGACCATGAGCAAACACAGGCTCTTGCAAACGGATGCCAACATGGGTTAATGTCTGTCCTTGTGCTTTATGTATGGTCATAGCGAATGCCAGGCGAACAGGGAATTGGGTGCGTTTGAAGAGAATGGGCGAGCGTGTTTGCGATGGTGTGAGTGTTATGCGAGGGATTAAGACAATGTTGCCAGCATGAGGTCCAGTGGCTATTTCAGCTTCAAGTACATATCTTTGAAAAGAGCGTACAATCAGCCGTGTTCCGTTGCAGAGACCACTTTGGGTGTGCAAGTTTCTCAAAAGCATGACTGGGCAACCGACTTTGAGTTTTAGCAAATGCGGAGGGAGGTCGGATGGATTCATGGAATTGAGCAGCTCTGGTGGGTACGTTATAAGCTCTTCAGGATCATCCACGGTATCTACGCTCTGGAATTCGTGGATAGTGCCTGGGAAATGGTCGAGTATTAGATCGTTGATTGCTGAAACGTCGACATTTTTTGGAGTTAGAATGGAGCGACTGATGAGGTAATCGCGATCCACGTGTGGTGCGTCAAGGCTGCCGTAAATGGCTTCGATGAGCGATTTAAGCACTGTTGTACGATCTGCGAGCGCGACGCATTTGGTATCACAGGAAGGACCTATTACCAGGTTTGATGTAGATACTTTAACGTAAGTATTACCGCTCAATAGCAAAAACATGCAAAGTAGAAGAGAGGATACAATGTTGAGTACCTGGCAAAAGTCAACACCAAGGACCATAATTTTTCCACCAAATGGAACATCGGCAAGCGCGGGATCGTCATGTCTCATGAGATTTGGATACGCTTGTACGTATACGTTGATACTTGTATTGATACTTGTGTCCAGCGTGTTTAAAGCGATGACACTTCTCATATGATGAAGGACGTGAAGTGAGCTTCATCTCGTGTTAATGAAGGTTATCCCCTTAAGTCTTTCCTCGATGCGATACCCGTCTACTCACATAGTCATACATTCATGTAGAACAAATTTCCTGATCTGGAGGAGCGTCATAAACGTGAGAGAGCAATTTGATTGGATAGATTGAACTGGCTCAAATGCCGTGTTCATTACTACTATATAACCGTGCGGCCGCAGCAATCATGGGGCTCTTCTTCCTCTTCGTCAACTTTTCTAAACCAAAGCTATTCAATGTGAGTGTCATTGGAATGGATTAGAGGATCGAAGAGTGTATGCTTATGTTGGTGAGTGAGAAGAGCGTATGAAACCGGTTGTGAGTATCTCAAAATCCGTTTATCTCACATTCTTTCTTTTTGACACAAACCTTCTTCTCGTCTTAACCTGGTCCATCTCCCCCTCACGTTGGCTCTCAAAGCGCAGATGCAAGAGTAAGTACAATATGGAAAGTGTGAAGTGTACTTTGAGGTTTTGCATGTGGATGTGATATACGAAAGAAGATATGAATTTCGACGTGTCTAAAGAAGTGTGTGTACAGCATACAGTCGCTAATGTTATCCTCCTTTCTTCTCTGCTACTACTATAGGATTCTGACTTTTTGAAATGGTTGGTTCGGTTTGTTGTTTGCATCCCACCCTTAAACATAAGCAACAACTGTAAGTACGGTAGGGAATGAAATGTGAGGATGAGTTGGAGAGAAGTCGAGTGTTTCTTGGAGGTGCTGATGCCATGACGTGTCAGGAATAGTTGCATATTAAGAACAGCCTGCTCATGATCTTTCTTCTTTTCATTCTACTTCAGGTTTCGCTTTATGCTGGTTGGGTTAATTGTGTCCTGCGGACAAATAACAGATAGTAAGTATAAGCAAAAGGGGACTTGAACATTGGCATGATAGGTGAGTAGGATGGCATGGGTGTTGGGGATGACGCGTCAAAGGTGTGCAGTATGTACAGCAGCGTGACAGGAAAGGGTTCCTGATCATGACGTATGCAGTATGGCAGTCTCTCAAAAAAAAATTCTTTCTCTCTCGCCTTTCTTCTCTTGTTCTTCAGAATTGGTCGTCGTGCCCTTCTTGCTTTTTCTTTCTCTAACTCAAGGCTCTCTTCCTCCAAGCCAAGGATGTCATGATAGTAAGTATACCTGGAAAGGATTTTGTGCTTGTGTTTGTTTTTGCGTCTTTGGAGAACCAGGAAGATGTCTGCCGTGACATGTCAAAAAGTGTATGCAGCTGCTCATAGATGTTTTTTTTTCTAAATAGAGGATGGCTCTGCGGTGATCTGTTTGGACTTGGATTGGCTTAGACCCCATCTCTCTCTGTCTATAACTTTGCTGTAAAACGACAAAACAAATGTAAGTCAGCTTGGGATGGAGAAGGATGGTAATGCCGTGTCAAAAATAAAGATAGCACAGTGTGTGAAACCCTCTAATGTTCTTTTTTTTTGTCAGCTATAAGAGGTGTTTTCGTCTTGGCTGCGATTCTCTGCTTCTACACTGGCCGGGTGTTCGGTTATCCTGTGTCTCATCGTAGAAGTATGGGTAAGTATAGCACGATAGAATCTTGTGTGTGTGGTTTGACAGTTTCCCATTAACTATTCGTCTCTTTTGTTTCTCGGAATGGCGGTAGTGCACAGACACCTCCATGCTAGTCAAGATTGATGCTCCACTGTCATCCCGCTAATAGAAGCCGACCTGTCAAGTAGTCCATCGGCAGTGGTCAAGATCTATCCATCCATCTGGACGGTGGCGTGTGCTTTTTGCTTTGACTTGGACCTGAGGAAGTCCTTAAAAGCCTCATCTTCTTCTTTGCGTTCTTTATATATTTTATCCCCCCCTCCCCTCCTCCCCTTGCTCTGACGCAGGAAGTCATTAAAAGCGTCTATTGCGTTCTTAATATAGTTTATCCCCCTCCCCTCCCCCTTTGCTTTCTTTCACAGTTCCTAGTAGCCTCTGTCTCGACCCATCTTCGGATGTTGCATCGTTTCACGCGAACGGCTGTTTTTTTTACTCAGGCAGCCTCCGGGCGTAAGTCCTGCTTCTTTCAAAATTCCCCGTGCCCACGGATAAAAAGTGCGGCCGAGGTCCCCCATGAATTTGGGGAATGCTTTGCGTAAGTATTTACTTTCTCTTTTTCTGTCTGTGAATTTACATGGATGAGAGTTTCCTTTTTTGGATTTTTCAGCTAACTTTTAAAGATTTTAATATTATAGAAGATACCGTACGTCCTATATTTCAAATTGTCTAGCTTTTTGTCAACTTTATAAGCCTTTGCGCCAGCTTGCCGAGCTGTGATAAGCGCTGCAAACATGTGTTAAGCTACTAACTTCTGGAAATCAATTCCATCCAACCCTATTTATAATAGTAAGATTAATTCGAATATCACAAGATAGAGATATAAAGATCTTACAATGTATCTTACTGTTTTTTTTAGGATGCAGTTACTCTAACCGACAAAATTTGTTTCCAATCAAGGCTTTTTGGTGGTGACAGTCGTCAACAAAAAACAAGCGCCAGAGAGATGGGCAATAAGCAAAGGATTCTACAGAAGCAAACGGTGAAACTCAAAATCATTTCTACTAAGCGAGATTTAAAACAATACCTAGTCCTTGGTCTCAAGTTATGTCAGACCTTCCACTATTTAAAAACTCCCAGCTACAGTACTGGTAATTTAGTAGTATCAAGAGCAGCAATGGCGAGTTTAAGAGATATTTATGGTAAACCATCACACTACTTATTCAATAGTAAAAGTTCTAGATGGTGTATTGTAATCTTTATAAAAGTATGCATATTTTTCATTCTACATATGCCAATCGACTTGTAGAGCTCTCCTTCATTCTCGATAACTGGAAAACGACGATTGAGACCAGGAGGCTCCGAAAAGTATCACATATCCTCTCCATCTCCATTAATATCTTGGCTATTTCCATCTTCCGTGAAATCGAATAAACTTGATGGTGTAATATGGGTCACCGCACCACCAAGACATATGTTCCGTTCTGAGTGGTATAAAAAGTGATAATAAACTGGAGATTGGATCGACGGTTTTTCCCATAGTGTAGCGAACCATGAAAAGATCATTTTCTTGTTGTAGCCAAGCAACTTAGTATACATTTCAAGGTGTCAGTAACGATGCTTGTTTGTAGTAGGATCCTCGAGCTTGGGCGATATATCGTTGAGCGTCCATGACCTTGGGCCCCCACCGCCTGATATGGTGGCTGCCTACTTGCTAATAACAATACCCGTGCAAGTTACATGCATGAAATTTGTCTCAATGTCGACAGCGAGGTTTCGTCGGAAACGAAAGTATAATCGGTCAGATGTTCCCCGGCAGCACCAGTCCATGATACTTCTCAGTCCGATTTTCTTTGAACCGTGTTTGAAAGCACAGGACGGATAGATCCTTCTTCCCAAATTGAGTCATCAAATTAACTTGGAGGTTGCTCGTAATCGATGGTCAATGCCTCAATAATTTTTGGGAACAGATTGCAAATGCAATTACACAATTACAGTATGAGCTGCTGGTGCATTTATGTGCTTGATGAAGGGTCTTGCTAACGTTCTACTACCACGTTGCAATAGGCGTTACTGTAGATCTGATGCATTATTTGTTGTATTTCGCGTTGCATAGTTTTTGAACCGTATTGATTTATACACAGTTGATCATACTAATACATTTGACTCTAAACTATCCCGCACTTGCTAAATGATCCCTTCAACTTGATAAATTTAACTTTACAACTGATCCGACTGTCTAGGCTCCCATGCAATTATTTTTCATCCACAACAATCATACCACCCGATTGGTTCCATAAGTATCACAACGTACAATATCCTTCACTAGCGGAGAACCATGGAACCACGGTCATATCGGATGTGCGAACGAGCCGAGTAGGAGTAAATTATGGATTTGGTACATAGCTGGTGGAAGAATTGTTCTGGGGTAAATCACAGGGACCAGTAAGCGCTGCTTGAGGGATCACAAGGGTCTCATCTCTGTTGTGGTATACACTAGTTTCTACTCTCCATTGTCTAGTCTTGTATGTGATATACATATCCTAAATACAAAAGTATATTTTAAATCCGGCTTCTCTTGTCCCTCAAAAACTTACATGTATTACGGTGATAGCTGAAGATTAATGCAAAAAACCCAAGGTTATATCAAAGAGCGAGCTAGTACATGAGATCATTGGAGTAAGGAATGCTCTTTATAAAGTAGAACTATCTTCCGATTTTAAGGTTGAAAGTAAATAGTGGAGAACAAGAAGAGAGGCCACACTGCATATATACCCCGTGATGTGCAGCGCTGGCGCTGGTGTACAGCCTTCGATGGAGCTAGCCGAAAGCTTACAATGTTCCGTTACTAACCTTGAAGAATGGCCGAGCGCGATCAATGCTCTAAATTTCGGTAGACGCAAAATAGTGGTGGCCTATAATATGTGCATTGTCAGCTTCGAGGAGTAAACTATCCATCTCTTCCTCCAAGTTACATATACATTCTGAGAGCTCGTTGTCAACGATAGTAGCCTAATACTATTATTACAGTCTGAAATCAACTGTTGAGTGCCTGATGTTATGTTCGTATCAAGAAATATATGGTGTTGTTGCTCTGCTTTATACTGCTTTTGTGGAATGGTCTCCAAATTTGAAAGATCCCGTCAGCTGCCGGAGTCAACTACAACACAGCATAAGCAAGAAGCTTTAAGACAATATGAAGCACTTGAACCTTTCATTTTTGGCTGGTGTCATAGCCATCAACTTTCTGAACGTTTCAGAGCGCGGCGAGACCGAGTACTAAAATATTTGCGGTAGAGGCAATGAATCGATGATATCTAGCTGCACGAACTCAGTATACATTTTACATGTACACAGAAACTACTGACTGAGCTCTTCACACATATTTTTTTTGTTGTTGTATGTCAAAAATCTTGTAATGACGTCCCCTATCTCAGGTGCTAGTAGTATTCTCGGGCGCTAGTTCCAATAAGTTTCGAACGTGTTCCTCTGTGTAATCTGTTAAAAGTTTCTTGTAAAAAGAGCCAAAAAGCTTCTGCTGTCATTTGTGCTCGAACTGACTAAACGCTCGTGTCGAGATCACAGTTTGCTTCACTATTACAAATTGACAGCGAATTTCTTATTCGGCGATTCAAATTAACCGAGCATCGGTCAACCTTGTAATGGGGCCCGGGGAAAAGAAACAGAGCATAGGGTGTATCTTTAATTCCTTCTTTTTTTTTACATTCCAAACAAATACACGCGAAACCATGCCTCGGACAGTCTCTCTCTTGGCAGGTCTTTTGGCTGTTGCAACAATTACATATAAATTTCGCGATGACTTAACGGCCAACACGAACGACATTCGTCGACGTCTGGACGATGCAAAGACTACGCTTGATCACGTCGCGGCCGGCACCGCAAGTCAATCTCACCTACGATCCCAACCTGCTCCTGCGCGTTCATTTATTGGCGAATCCCAGCAATATGTGTCTAAACGTCTGGTGCCTAGTGGTAAATTCTAAAGAACAAAAAAATAAGAGAGAGTGGAGGAGGGAGACCTTCTTTGTGCGTGCGTGGTGGTAGTGGTGGCGGGGGTCATACGAGAGAGAAACCAGTTGGGTAGCGTACTGAACTTAATCTAATTATCTAGTCAAGCATCAATGGAACGATCATATCGCTGGCGCAGCACAAACAATCATTCGCACAGATATCCCCTCGTATACAAAGAAGCTGTGGGATGAAAATGTAGCACCTAGCTTTAATGGAAAGAAAAACTAGAGTTTACATGCATTGTCTTCTATATATAAAGACATTTATAAAAAATAGGGAAAAATCGGTTTGTCGTCTCTTTCTCTCTCTCTCTCTTTTTTTTCTTTAATTCCCCACTTAAGCGTTTTCGCTCAGAATGAGTGACAGTAAAGTCTTTGTATACTCCTCAGAAGCGTCCGATCGTTGGAGCGATTCAAGCGATCATCCAACCTCGTCAGGAGCCGCAACGTGGTCAGTCACTGCAGCAGACAGCAACGCAGAACTGATCGTACCTCGAGTCACTTTTGACCTTGACGATGAGCAATTACGACGACGACAACAGCTACAACGACGCAACAATAGTAATACCAATAGCACCACGACCGACATTGGCCATCTCTGCATCATGGTGTGTGGCGATTCGGGTGCGTTCTTTTTTCTATTGAATATTATTACATGCCCAAAAAAGAAAGAGAGGGGTGAAGGGGGTGGAGTGATCTGCATTGATGATATAATGAAGCATATGAGCTTGTGTGTATTGCCATTACAATATAATACCCATGCAACTATATACACACAAATAAGGTATTGGCAAGACACAGTTGGTCCAGGCACTCGCTACGGCTATGCCGGAAATGACCACTGCAGGAACAACAGAAGATGTGCTATTCGATGACTATGCTATCCAAGAAACACGTGTTTCAATCGACGACAATAATGATGAACAGCAGCGTCAACAGAAGACAATCTGCTTCGTGGATACTCCTGGATATGGTGCATGCCTTGATGTAATTTTTCTTTTCTTATCTCTTTTCATGCGATCATATTAACAATATATTATTATGCGCAGCATTATTGATAATTGGAGGGATGTGATATAAATGAAACCTTAGGCTGAATCGGTTATAGCATCAGTGACCCATTACATTGAGCGCCAGTTTCAACGCACCAATGCAATGTTGAATCCTTTGCATGCCAACACACCAGAACTCACAAGGCTTGTCCACAATACTCATGGCGCGCATACCCATATTGACGCCTGCGTTTACATCGTTCTTGACAGACTTAAGCGCGTGGATATTGAATACATGCGTGCACTGCAACCTCTATGCAACCTGATTCCCATTATTCTCACGCATACCACACAACAGCAACAACACCGATCGTCGTCATCAAAAGCATCACCACCCATATCATTAATTCAACTCGAATTTGAAGAACAAGGCATTGAACCCTTTGATTTATTGTATCCACTCAATGATATCAATTCGGTAGTACCAATGTTCTGTGATCGAGTTCTCTTCTGCCCAAGTCGATTACGCCAGATTCGTCAAAACACTGCCGAAAAGTTCGTCACATGGCGGGCATCACAACATATAGTCATGGAACAACAGGACGAAGATGATCTGTCAACAACCTTATCAGCATCGACACTGACGACAGCAGAAACCGTGGATAGAATCCATGCCCTCCGAGCTCGACATGCCCAGAATATGAACTTGTTTATCTCGCGCTATGTCAGTGAGAAGCGCAAGTTAATGGAACGGGACATGTTTGAACGGGAACGTGCGCTTAGGCAGGAACTGGCGTCCGTCGAACGTCGCAAGCGTGCAGAATTGCTGTTGACTGAACTCAATGCGTTGTTTCAACAAGGCTCGCTCGGGGATTTCGATGGTGTTATCAAGGGTTCAGCGTCACCATTAGCAGCAGCAACAGCAACAGCCAACAAGCAGCAAAAACAACAACAGCAAAAGGAGGAAGAGCAGCAGCAGCTATCACGTTTGCTACTGTTGTTGCTGGAAGGATTGCAAAAGAATAGCTTGAAAGTGGCAGCCATGGTCTTATTCATTTCAATGCATCTGCTGTTCGATGTGTATCAGTGGTGGACAAATCGTTGCTCCAACTGAAATAATAAAAGAGGACTCAATCCTTGTGTAAATTAGATATCATATTTATGCGCAAAATATAAGTAGCATAGTTTATATACTGTAGCATAGTCTGTAAATTTCTTTCCATTTCTAATATATTAGCAAATAAAATGATGAGCATTGTTGTTAGAAAGCATGTATGAGCGAGAGGCTTTCATGGCATTTTATTTTGCTAATGTAGCGTTTCGTGTTTGTGTAAGTGTGTCTGCGCGCGCTGAAAATCTTGATAACAAATAGAAGAACAATGAAAAAGGGGAGTGTGGATTGTTTAGTAAGGGCGGTAATGGTGTTGACTTCTAGCTTGGGAAGCATGGAGAGCACCGCCACCAGAGTTAGCACCACGGTCCGAACTTCTGTCTTTTCGTCGATCGTCACGTCTACCGTCTTGATCATCATGATAGCCACCATCATCACGATATTCACCGCCTGCTTCCTCGCCACCATAGCCACGACCACCGTAATAGTTGTTAGCGCCGGCACCCATATAACCACCAGCAGCGGCTGGTGCTCCTCCACGACCAGCAGCACCACCGCCACCATAGTATGCGGCCATGCCATAGTTTCCATAGCCATACATATTGGGGTACATGCTAGATGCAGCAGCAGCGCCACCCCCAAATGCACCGTATCCTCCTTGTCTTGATCCATTAGCACCACCATAGGAAGCAGCACCGGCATAACGTGTGTTTGGCATATAACCTCCTCCTTGTCCACCACCATAACCACCTCGACCACCTTGGTTACGCAGTTGTCTGGATTTCGGCATGGCTTTCTTGACTTCAATAGGCTTGCCCTTGATAGCCAAATCGGGTTGTCGCAAAGCTTCGTCAACACCGTTGCTGTTTTCAAAGGTAATGAAACCGAATCCACGTGGCCTGCCCGTGTCCCGATCCGTCATTAAAGTGGCATCAATCACAGTGCCAAATTGCGTAAAGAAGTTTTGGAACTCTTCTTCGTCGACTTCGGCTGATATGCCACCCACAAAAATCTTTTCGGTCTTGTCTTGTTCTTCGCGTGGGATGGCTCGTTTAGGATCAATCTGCATAAAACATGTTTTTTAGACACATCTCACCATCATACACATGCGTGGTACTTATGCTACTGCTTACGCGTTTGCCATCAAGATAATGGTCCTGGTTTACAATCGCATCAAGGGTGTTAGAATCAGCCATAGTCAAGAAACCAAATCCACGTGACCGATTCGTGGCAGGATCGCGCATAACCACACAATCCGCCACCTCGCCAAACTGTGCAAAATACTGTTGTAATGATTCTATATAGTGTGATTCGTAAATGTATTAAGCACCCTAGATCAGCAAACCTCATCAAATCATAGAAACATTTCATCCTCTCTTTCTCACACAGCCACACAGCAGTAGGAAGAATCCGTATACGAAGTGTGGCTGCATGGCATGAAATGTATAACAAAAAATAATGAACAATGTTCTTACCATCCGTTGTTTCCCAATTAAGCCCTCCGATAAACATCTTTCTATATAGTTTCATATAATACAATATTTGTTTGCAAAAAGCAAAAGAGTAGAATGATGTAGAAAATTAATATTCATTGTTCCATCTTTTTGTTCAAAAATACCTATGCTTTTACTTAAGAGGTTTTGGAGGAGGAGGAAGAGGAGGGAGACTACAGTATACTGTTCTCTTCTTCTTCTTTTAAGTCTCTCTACATCTGTTATTTCTCTTATACTACAAATGATCTAGAATAAGATAGTTCTATAGCCTAAGTTTAATTCTCTTTTAAAGTGGGATATAAATCTGATCTTCATTTGACTACTAACTTTCTTTTTTTTTCTATGGTTCTTCTTCCTTGGCGAAGAATATCAGACTTTCACGCGACTTGGGATGCGTGGGAACTTGTTCACAGGTAAAGCAGTTGTCGGAGCGACAGAGCACGAGCAAAGAAATCATAATCGAACGCGACCAACAGATGACAGAGACCGACCAAGCAAGAAAGAGCAAAAGAAAGACATCTCCCCTCCTCTTTCCACTTTTGTTCCTCGTGATGGCAATGCTATAACCTCTTACGAGCAAAAGAAAAGCTAGAACATGAGAAATAAACTTACCCTTCGTCTTGATTTGCAGCACTAGCTACAGAAGGTGGCTTTCGATCACCTCCCTCTTCGTCATCACCACCATGTTGTCCTGCTGCTGCGGCTCCTGCAGGTAATTGAGGACCTCCTCCTTGAGATTGCGGCTGGCGGAAATGCCGTTGAAACATTTGTTGCATTTGGTAAGGAGTAGACATTTGCTGCAATGTTCTTTGGTACGCAGCATATTGTTGATACATGTTGGGAGGAAATCCACCCCACATCATTTGCTGCTGCTGTTGTTGCTGCTGCTGAGGTAATAAACCTTGTTGTTGTTGATGACGCTGTGGAGAATAATTCATGTACTGCTGTTGTTGATGTACATCATCAGTAGGTTGTTGCTGCTGCTGAGGTTGTGCATGAGCTGGATCATTGGTACCAGAAGGATCGTAAGCTTCAATAGCACTCCCTGCTGCTGCTGCTGCTGCTCCTGTTCCTGTTCCTGCTGACGGTTCTGTAGTACCAGTGGTCGTTGTAGTAGTATTGCCACCACCACCACCACCACCACCACTAGTACCAGCTGCTCCTGCTGTTGCTGCTGCTGCAGCCGTTGATGACCCTTCTTGTGCCTCTTCTCCCGTCAATGCATCCTTGTAATCGTCGCCATAGATATCAGAGTTTCCATAAGAGTCTTCCTTGACGGTATTATACACATTGTATAGTTCATCATCGAAATCGTCAGCCATTTTTGTAGTTTTTTTTTTCTTTTGTGTTGTGTTGCGTAAAACAAAGAGACGAGAAAAGCTGCCTTTTACACAAATTACGTCGGCAAAATCCCCAGCAAAAAAAATTCGAGTGACGGTTTTGTTTCATTTTAGGAACACGAGGCAAGGCCCGTGCATTCACAAAAGTGTCAAGTAAAGGTATTGCGTATTAAAAGCCCCTCCTCTTGCCTTTTTGTTAAGTTATCTAGCTAATAGCTTGAGATGCTTTCATTAATGAGTACTAGCAAGAGCAGGAGTTTTACTTCATAAAGCTCTCGCTCTTGTGTACCACCACTACGTATTCAACTTAACATAGGCTAGGTTAGTAGAACAATCGATTGTTCGAGGTGCAATGGCTGTAATATTTAGAATAGTAGTCAGTTGAGGCAGGGACTGAACGGCAATGCCAGCAATGGCCAGACAATAAAAAAAGCAGTGCAGAGACAAAAAGCAAGGAATACTCAATATGAGACTCAAACATAGCACGGACAGCGAAACCAGCAATGAGAGGATGAGTATGCATGCCGGATGGCAGAGGCCACGAGGTCCCTAGAAAGGATTAGCAAACTAAAATTAATGCGCAGGTAAGCCATCCCGATAGTTTTACTTCATGTTTTATGTGCGTAGAGCATAATTCTCTCTTTCTATTTCGTATACTCTCTTCTTCCTTCTAAACATAGACCCAGACAATGCTAACTCACGCGATTTCATAGATTTCATGGCCCGGCTGCCTAACAATCTAGTTTGTATAATCACGAACAAGCTGCCGGTGATGGCATAGACACCAATTACCACGGTAAATGGTGTCTGGCGCAATTTACTCTTCAGTGAACAAGACCTGCTATGTTCCTTTCTTTGGTATTTTGTCTATCGCCAGCAACCATACAAGATATCTGCAATTACGGCTTGAAGAACATGGTTTAATTGAGAAAGTTGCTCGTGTCATATTAGATAACGCGTTTCCTCGGCTCGAGTACCTGAATATCCAACAATGTACGTTATCCAGTGATATTTTTTATAGCCCGTATATACAAAAGTAACGTTCAACACACTCACTACGTTTGCCTGAGTCTCTAGATTCCCTATCTAGATTCTCTCTCCCCGTTTCTCCTCCTATGGGTTAAAAAGGCTTTAAATCGAAAAAATCTTAACCAGCCAGATTCTAGCTTAGTCGTCATTTCTCTTGTACTCCACTCTATTCGTATGCTTTCCTCTTGATACTTCACAAATAATGAATCGCAACTAATCAGCAGCCATGCCCTAAAGGGATAAATGCTGACACACACTAGATAATAAAAAATGTTTGGACTATAGCGGGTCGAGTTATATAGTACATGTGATAAGCATCCCTGCTGATTATTCTGCATAATAAATGATGTCACTTTATAGAAAAAAATACTTACATCCCCAAACCAAATGGAATTTCGGCGTTTACGGTGATGTAAGGGGAGCAACGCCGTATGTACTTGAAGAAAGGTACCCTACCCTAAACATCTCTAAAGCTGTTTATGTGCATGCATTTGAGTGCATACATATTTGCTACTAGTTTGGAATAGCACGGTGTTATGACAATGTGCCTTCAAAGTCGATAACCTCTTAGTATAATATCATTTCTGGGGTATAGTATTTAGTAGAGCATACTTGGTAAAAATAGCACAAAAACATTGTTCTGCTGGAAGTGACGTGAAATGTTTCTCACATACTAGTTGATAACAAGAGCCAACATGCTCAGGCAACTAAAAGAGATGTGATGAGGCATACATACAAGTGTTTGCAGTGAGCAATAGTCTTCTGGAGCCTGTTACGCTTTCTAACTGTTGTTGTACCTTCTGGTATACTCCATACATTTCATCGTTGTTGCTATTATCCCAGTTTGCAGTTTCTTCATGTTGTTTCGTCTTCTCAACGATCATGTCATCATCGCATCATTCTCGCGACTCGTTTTCTGCGTTTAGATTGTCTGGCTACTCTGTGCGTTTCATATTTTTATATCATATCATAGTGTGGAGGTAGCTACTCGTCTAAGCATTAGCTTGTATAAAGCTGCGTCACACATACTGCTAGCTGTAGCCTTAACAATAATACGTATATACAGCGTACTACTGCTACTGCTATTATATAACGACATCTTCATCATGTGTTGCTTTACTGTAATTGTTGTTGCATACAAGACATTGATGATCGAACGCTATCAAAACGATCGACACCTTTTCCAATTAAACCTCATATCAGTTGTAAATGAATTTATCCTGTTGTTGTTATAATCGACAATGTAGCGGCTAATGCTTTATATATTATTCATCAGCAATTAATCAACAACCACTTGTTTATCTACGGATGGGAACAGTTCAAAGAAAGCCTATAGAGTAACAAACAATTAAATAGAAAGATCAGCAGTCAACGAACGGTTCAACACACTATGTACGAAAATGCTTCTTGGCTTTCTCTTTTTACCGCAAGCAATCGGATACCGTTAGGTACATCATCAACACCACTAATTTCACGAATAGAATGCATGCTCAACTGAGGGTTACCGACATCTGAAGAAAAGTGTAGATAGTAGCGTTGAGCAACAGGAGATGGTTTGAGTTAGTACCTTCATCATATGTACGCTTAATCTTCCGTTAGAATAAAGAGTATTTAATTAACAGCCTATCTTTACCAATCGTTCGAAGACCCAGTTTAGCGCTCAACATAGGACCGATCGTACTTCCACAAGGCGAGTCATTTCGTACAACGAATTCCTAATCAATGAGTTAGCAATACCAGATAATATACTGTATCATTAGACATTTGTAAATCACACGTATCCAGGAAGCATTCTTTTGGTGTTTGTTTCCTGTACCTGAATTGGAACGCTGCGACGACGGGCAATTTCGCGAAGGATCAAGGCTGTAGGTGCAGTGGTAGCATAACGTTGATATGCATTAATCTTTATTACTGTTCCTTTATGCATCGCAGGACGATGATTTTCTTCGTATTTTTCACTTTGATTAAAAAAAGGTTAGTATATTATCACCCTCTATTAGGTTTGTAAAGAAAACTAGTTGGCATAGAAACTTACGTATAATTAGGATGGACAGCATGTGCCATATCTGCGCTCACGAGCATACTATTACGCATAGCAAGCTCAAAGTTTGACTATTATATAATGTTGTTGTTAGCAGACAAACGCAGAGATAGAGAGAGAGTGTGTGTGTGTGAAAGCCAAACGTGGTGCTTTACCTTGCCACTAGCTGGTTCTTTACCATCGATTTTAGCCGCCACAAGTCGTTGTAAAGTGGATGGTAGCAAGTTGGAATTGGCGCCATGTGCTGTTGTGCTTCCAACTTCTTCATTGTCGAATAACGAGATAACGCGAATGTTGGTGTCGTCACTTGCTTTATCGGCAGTGTTAAGCATTGCCTTTTGTTTTGTTACAATACATATGCAGTCAACAAGTCAAGTCGGTTCTTTTTTTATCCCTTTATGTGACATAGTGTTTCATGGTAACATACCATGAGAGAACAATAGGACATCCCGAGGTTGTCCAAGCGTGCGGAAAAGATAAATTCGTCATAGGCACCGCCAATTGTTGCTGGCTGTGTATCGTACAAACAAAGCTCAAAATCGTGTATCTTGTCCACTAAACAGAATTCGCGTTTCCAGTCAGTTTTGTTTTGTGTGTTGTTTCTACCATTGTATATTTTTTTAAGCCAATACAAATGCTTTGCATATCAACAAGCTTACGTCCAACTTTGAGTTCTTCGGAAAGGATATCCATTAAGGCCCGATGATGCTTTGCTTCTTGATCCGACGACGACGAAGCGCTCAATGATCTATGATAGTGTTGTTCAACAATTCATATACCAAGTATGTTTAATCTTATGTGTCATTTTTCTCCTCCTCATAACACTAATATGGGAGATAGTTAGTAGCAAAATATACTTACGATTTAACGGCAGTAGCAAGGACAGGTACCATACGATTTTCCTTGTTGAACCGAAAAGCCTCGTTGACTGAACCATCTAAATGGATTGCCAAGGTGGGAACACGTAACAATGGCCTTTAAAGTGTTAAAAAAAGGGTTTACTGTCAATACAGTTCCTTCATGAACAAACACCCAGATCAATCCCACACGCCCCACATACTTGAGCTATCTATTCACTAGCCAAAACCTAGTACTTTTAACTTACTTTTCTATTCTGGCCAGAGTATGTTGAAACGTACCATCTGGTTTTTCGACCATGACGCGTCCAGCTACACTGAGATCCCGATCAAACCATGTATGCCAAATACCACCACCATACAACTGCACACCCACTTCTAAATATCCAGCTTTATCTTTCTTTGAGATAGGTTTGACCTATCATCAAGCGCTTTGTATTAGCTTTCTCCCTCTAGTAATGGCAAGGTATAGTAGGGTGGGAAAAATCACCTTTAGACAAGGAGAATCGGTATGCGCGCCGATAATCGAAAATCCGTTTCCAGGACGATACTGTCCTCCGATGACAAACGCGACAATCGACGACCCGTTCCGTGTGAAATAATATTTCCCCTTACGTTTCAAGTTCCATGACGACCGTTCGCTGATTTTCTCAAATCCGGCACGTTCGAGCCGTAAAGCTGCTTCATTTACAGCGTGAAAAGGGGACGGCGAAGCATTTAAAAACTGAATGAAATCGAGCGCTTCTGGTGGAGGAGCCGGTTCATTCGACGTTGTTGCAGTGGTAGAGTTGAATCGCTTTGTCTTTTCAAGACTGTTACTGTTGTTGGTAGTTGATACTAGCGTGGATGCAGTATCAGTGTGAAGCGATCGAGGTCGTCGTGTCGTTGACCGTACTAGACGTCGCCAAATATTAGCCGTACAACCCGTCATTCTGTGCCGAGGAGAGAAAGGAAGACGGTCAACAAGAAGAAAATCAAAATCGGTTACACCAGCAGAACCCATCCTATTTATTTATTCACTTAATGTAACAAGCTTTGTTTTTGTTTAAGTTCTGCAGCAATGTTATCAGCCGTGTTTCTCTCTTCGTCCGTGATGCGCAAATTATCTAGGGTCTGAAGCAACGGACGGCATTTTATGAACAAGGCACGATGGCACTTCCTCCGCTGATGCCACTGAGGATCCATGTTCTGATTAAAGTAAGCGTCACGAGACGCCCAAGTGTCGTCATACTCGTTTGCCAAATAACATGAGATATCGCCACTTGCGATCTTGGATTGTTCGATCGTCTTGATGGGCGGGTAGAGTTTGGCCGACAGCGGGTTTTGCCGTAAATCCAAATAATGCAACCGGTCCAACGTCCTCACTGTATCAATGACATTCGACTCACTGTCCAACTTATTATCCACCAGCACCAGCTTTTGCAAATGCCGTAGTTTCCTCAGAGGTCGAATGTCTTGCAAATAGTTGTGGCTCAGGTACAGCACGCCCAAGTTGGGCACATCACGCGCGAATTCTTTGGGTAGTTTTTCCAGTTGGATCGAACAAAGTTCCAAGTATTCCAACGTGTAGAAATCTTCCATCCGAACCAGTTCTTTGAGCATGTTGCCTGAAAGATATATTTTGCGTGCACCGCGCAAGTACCGGATGTTGACATCGACTTTTTGGCCGCCTTGGTCGCGAAGTGAGAAGCTCGATATGCGGGGAATGCATGATAGGCCAATAATCCGTAAGATTTGGTTGTCGTCGAGATACAGTGTCCGTAAATCTGGGAAAAATGTTGCGTCGAATGCTTTTAGTCGGTTGTAGCTCATGCGCAACACTTTGAGCTTTGCGATCGGTGCACGGATTGAGATCCATTTGATATCGTTGTGATCTATTTCACATGTGTGTGGTAAGTAAGAAACGTGATTGCATAATCACACAAAGAGAGAGAAAGCTACTATTTTACGCACCCAAATTAAGTGATCGTAAACTTGGCAAGCCTTCAATCGACTCTAGACACTCAATCCTGTTATATGCAAGATCTAACGTTTCCAACGAGTTCCTGATTACACAGATGTCAGTTAGCTCCTAAAAAAAGGGGGATTTTGATTTATAAAAAAAAGCTTACATTTTTGTTTTTCCAAAATTGAGGTGTGTGATGGAATTGTTCCTCAAGTTCAAATTAATCAGACCTTTCATCCGTTTCAATGGACTACAAGAGGACACTTTGTTATACTCTGCATGGAGCGTTCGTAAATGATACAAGGATGTAATGTCTACATGTTCGCAGTTTGTTGTTGTGTATCCTTAGTTTTATGCATTTTTTTTTAATTTTGTTCCACCGGATTTATGCGTACCGTCAAAACTGGCAATGCCATTGTTGCATACGTCGAGGTAATGTAAATTCCGAAGGTCCTTGAGTCCGGCTATACTTGTCAATCTTGACCCATCACAGACAGCACGTCACTTCGTATAAGTAAATGGAGAGACAACACGGGATGAAACGAAAGAGACTGGTTTTACCTGTTTGACTTTGCTTTCAAAACTTGCAATGATTCCGGAAGACCTCGCATATCCGTGATTGCATTATTAGATCTATCGAGTACACGTTAGTTTCGCTCTCGTTTACACATTTGAACTGTCAGCTACAGAAACACATATTCAAAGATTTAGGGAAAGAAAAGACATACACATGTAAGGTCTCCAAAGCAGGCAACAAGGTACCGAGATTAGAAATAGAAGCGATGTGGTGATGTGCCAAGTCCAAAACCCGTATCGTGTTCCATTGCTCGAATGGTTTGAGTTCCAACATGTGATGCGCAACTTTGTGGATGGCCTGACGCGTATCAACATCGCTTTGAAACTTGAATCGATCATGGATGGCACGAAACACCACGTCTTCAGAATCATGTTTTTCTCGGTCTTGCGTTTCTAATTGGTCGAGTAAGAGTCGTGTTGCCTCTTCTGTATCATCGTCCTCGCCAACAGCGACACCGTCTAGTATTTCTTTGCCGTCGTGATGGTCTTTGTGGTAGCTTTGGTTCTGGCTTTTATTATGTTCTTGAACCCACACATCTTCTTCCTCTTCTTCTTCTCCATTGTCGTTGTCATCAATGTCAGATGTCGAGGACGATGCTGATGTCTGTCGTCGTCCTCGTCCTCGTTGAGAAGAAGGTGGGGGTGGTGATCCATAATAGCCACGTCGTTCAGGAAAATTGCGGTTTTGCGATCGTTGATCAAGAAGAGCCTGTTGGCGTTCTGTTTCAGCACGTTTACGAGCCTCTTTACGACATCTTTGTTCTTGTTGCATTCGAATGCGGAGTACTCTGTTGACAATATCGTTGGAAGTAGTAGCACGTCCCTTTCCTTTTGCTGTTTGATTGACAACCATAGAGTATTTATTAATGGTCTCCGTGATTGAGGAAGGGCGCGAAAGAGAAACAGGAAAATAGCTGGATAAGGTGCGATTGCTTTTGTTTTCACTTTACCTTGGCTGCTATCGGCCATGAAAGGAATGGAAGGACCAAAGCCACGTACTGATTTCCAGGTTACTTCATCATCTGCTGTTCCTGTTGCTCCATTTTTTGCCAATCCTGTTGCTGTTGTTGCCGTCTTGTAAGTCTGTGATGATGAGCACTCCTCTTCTGCTGGTGGTTCCTCTTCATCATGATTAATCATTTCAAAACTCGAGGATGAGGCGTCAGAGAGTGATGAAGAAGAATGAATATTTTGCTTGGTGCTTTTGCCGTTGATGTTAATTGTGGTAATGTGCTGCTGTTTTTGTTGTTGTTGGAATGAAGAAGGAGACGTTAGATGTTTCGTTGTTGTTGTTACTGTTGCTACTGTAGAGGATGGAACTATTAAAGAAGAAGGAGAGGAAGGGTGTACAGGTGGAGGAGGTGAAGGCGCAGGAGGTGACAATGATGGTTCATCAAGAGATTCATCAGGATGTTCTGTACTGCCATCATTGTTGTTGTTGTTGCTGGCGTCATTGTTCGATAATGGCTCTTTGTCGTAGTAGTAGTCGTCATCATCAGCATCATCTACTGTTATTGGCTCGTTAATGGATGATGGTTTTGGCGTAGCAGGTGAAACTGCATGATGTGAATCGTCGCTCTTTCTCTTATCAACACCATCGAAGCTATCGTCATTATCGTCCTCCAGAATGTTGCCAGTGCCATGCATAAGCCATTCGTCTTCCGAACTTTCGTCTTTTGTTGCTAAATTAAATGGCGACGTAACCATTTGATTTCGATCCATTATCAAGGGATCGTCCTTTTCTTGGTCATCGTCGTTACCATCGTCGTCAGCGCCAACGTTAAAAGATGCATCTGAAACATAAGTTGAAGGCAAATTGTCGAAACGGTTAAAGTTGAGCGATAATCTTGGCTTTATCGGTGGTTGCTCAAATGGTGGTGGAGGTGGTGAAGTAGGAACGAATTCATGTTGCTGATCACAAGCTGCACTGGTAGTAGCAGGAGGAGGAGATATATCGTCGTCGGCGGCGGCAAAAGTCATTGTAAAAAAAGGGGCACAAAGACCTCAGGGTCATTTTTCTTTGCTGCGTTTCCTTCCTTTTGGTGTGACAAAGGAAAGTTATTAAGGGTCATCCCCATCCTATCTATCACTAGCTACAATTACTATACTATCTCTGGTAGTATTAAAAATGCTTCTGAAAAAGCGCACATCATATGCGCAGCTCTTATAGTAATTCCTAGGTTTGCTATAGCGCACAAGCCTACTAGGTACCTACTACATACCACACACGTGTTTACACATTTATCAAGCCAATGCCACCACTCTACCTCGCAATGAAAAAGAGGTTACAGCAGATGATCACAATATGCTTCTTCTTCTGAATTATTGATAAGCTGCCAGAGAAAGATTTAGCATTCACCAATACAATAAGAAGCCCTTTTCTCTTCTTACGATGGATTTAATCAATATACATGCAGCAGCAGCAGTAATAGCAGTAGTTGTAGTAGAATTGGGAGGTGGGGAATTGCCACATGAAAGGGACGAAACATGGTTTTAAAAAACAGGGGGAGAAAAGTCAAGCTTTAGATTATGCAAAATAACATGTAAAAAAATCTTTGACAACAAATGATCTCTGGGTTTCCGCGCCTTTTTTACTTTTTGAATATACACACATACATGTCCGTTGCTTCCGATCCCGAAGAAACGCAAGACTACAACAACAATAATGACATTGACGAGACTGAATCGGTAGCACCAACATTCAATATCGACAATTTGCCTCCGTCTTTTAAAAAGTTCCTACAAGACAATGCGATCGATCCAAAAGTGTACACTGTGACGGATCTACCACGATACATACGACTCAACACCCATTGTCCTGCCAACACATTGCCAACATTAAACGATCTGAAAATCCAACTTGACACGCAGCAAGTATGGCAAGTCAAGGATGGAATATTTGGGTTCATACATGCCAAACAACGACTGGTCGATATCAAGGCGTAAGTAATTCCTATCTCTCTTTGCGACTCGTGTATGCTCACAAAAATACGACTAGATACACAAACCACACGGTGTTTGGTATCGATTTGAGTTCTGCCATGGCTGTAGAAGCGCTTGATCTTACACCTGATGACCAAGTACTTGATCTCTGCTGTGCACCTGGCGCCAAACTTTGCATGATTGCAAATAAACTCGGGAATGATGGTGTGGGCACAGTGACAGGTGTGGATATTGCCAAACATCGTTTGGCAACGTGTCGATCCATGGTCAAGAAGTATAGTGTCGGCAATCGTGTTCGGTTATTTGATGCTGATGGTACGACTTTTAAGATTCCACCACCGGCTCGCGTGGGGGGTCGATTGATTGTCGGAGGCTGCAGTAGTACCTCAAAGGAGGAGGATGATCATCATGCAACAACAACAACAGCAGCAGCAGCAGACAGCAGCAGCAACAATAACGATGGTAGTGAACCAGTGACCAAAAAACGACGGAAAAATACTAGTACGACGAAGCCCTTTTGGGCGTCCAAGTTTTTACGTAACGATACCCAAGACTCGCCTCATCTTTATGATAAGGTATGAAGAATGAGTGATGAATGTATCTATCTGTCTGTACTGACTTATAGGAGGAATCTTTCCTCTTTTTTGTATAAGGTTATAGTCGATGCTGAATGTACACATGACGGATCCATCAGTCATATACTAAAGGTAAGATCCAATTACGATCGTTGCAGCAGTATGATTAATCCATTAATTTTTTCTCTTCTTGCGAATAGTACGAAACGTGGGGCTGGGATGCATTCGAAAAGAACTTTATGAACCCTGATCGGCTATCGACTATTTGTGAATTACAGGTAGAGAGACAAGTCTTTCGACATCCTGCTATTACTGCTATTGATCACTCGTGTGTATGGACTATTTAGCGCAACTTGATGAAACAAGGCTGGCAAATGCTCAAACCAGGCAAGACCATGGTGTACAGCACCTGTTCTTTAACCATTGAACAAAACGAAGGAAACGTGGCATGGTTTTTGAAAAGGTTTCCAGATGCCCAAATACAACCTGTCGATAGTCTGCATATTCCTCGAGCAGCATTGAAAATAGAGGGTTTATCACAATGTGTACGGTTTGATCCACTTGTAAGTCGTACGAGTGGGTTCTTTGTAGCTCGGTTTATCAAAATAGATATATAAAACCTTTATTTACATAAGGATTACTATTACCACTACTGTTGTTTCTTCAATGATGATGTTGATGATGATGCCGATAGCGGTGCTCGTTCGTATATTTCACTGATCATGTCCCAACCGTTATTGTGATTAATATTGTTGATAGATGCATCCAGGTCGTGTTGTTGTAATGATGATGGTTTTTCCATCGGTGGCTGCTTATCCTTAACTTCTGGTAGTAACGAGGTCGAGGATTGTTTCTTATCTGTATCCTCTATCACCTCTGATGGTGCCACGTTTGCCCCAATATTTGTTATAGTTGATTGTGTCACTTGACCACGTCCTTCAACTGCTGACGATCCCTGCTGGTCCTGCTTAAGTTTCCGTTCCAGGTCGTTCAAAAACAAATCGATCCGACGATGGAGACCCAAGATCAACATATGCATGACTCTGAGCATAGGTTTTTTAATCACGCCCTGTTGAGTAATTTTCAATGATACAGCTTCGCCGTCGACCGATGCCAAAGATAGCTCGTCAAGTTCAAACGTCCATGAGCCAGAAAACGTGGGTATTTCTTGTAAAATACGCAGTAGACGGGAATGAAGGATTTGGTGGACGTGAATCACGACAATGGTGCGGTTTCGAGTGTTGTTTTCTTGAAACACAATACGGTCTCCTCCGTGTTGTTGTTCGGTGTTGTTTTCAGTGTCATTGGTGGTGGTATTTTCGGTAATGTCGATGCCTGTAACGCGAGGACGCCAGGTGGGATAGTTTTGAACGTCGACAAGAATATGCCAAAGGTCCGCCTGGGATATGCCAGCAAAGGTCCGTTTGCGGGATACAATATGGCTTGCAGGTAAAAGTAGGCCAATCACATACGTCAATAGCGGCACTGTGGGTATCAGCACCAACAAGGTGCAGAGAGCAGTTGAGACTGAGGAAGAAGCCATTGTCTTTCTTCTTGTGCTGTTGCTGGTTGATGTGTGCAAGGAAAGAAAGAAAAAACGTGGAGCCTGAACATGTTGCCAAGGTTTGCATTGTTCTTATGCCTATCCTGCTCCAAACCTCGTGACACTTGGTGAGTATAGAGGTTTCACTTTCTTGGTCGTCTCGTAGCAGTACAACGTTTTTTCTCTCGGCCTATTTTTTCCCTTAAAATAACAACACACACACACACACACAGACAGAAAGAGACAAACATTATGCGTTTACTTTCAGCATTCATCGTCTCATTATTTGCACTCATGGCCACCGCTGCAAAGCGTAAGTTGAACAGATATATGCTTTTTTCCCTCTTCCAGGATTGCGCAGAAGCGAAAACTCTAAACATATTTTATGCATCTACGAACTATATTTAGCTGGGTATACCGATTACATCATGGCATTGAAAGAACCTGTCAGTGATGCCACCATCAAGCAAGCCAAAGCTGATGTCGAGTCAGCTGGAGGCGAGGTGACATATGAAATCAAGACAGGTTTGCATGCACTTATATGCAGTCTTCCCAATGAGCGAATCACGACCTTTGATAACAAGAATTATGTGGACTTTATGGAACAAGACCAAGAAGGTAAAAAAAGGGTGGAGGGTGCTGCTGCTGCTGCTGCTGCTGCGCCCGGTCCTACAACCCGGGGGAAGGGGGGCCGATTGATTATCGTCAAAGTGCTTTACAGAGAGAAAATTAGATTGACATTTCCTCGGTTTTCTTTTTTTAGTTCACATCATGCAGGAATAAAAGAGAAAAACATGTTTATTTTACTAATGTTGTTGCTGATGTAGTAATAATAAACACTATCCTCCCTCCTTGTTACAACGCTCGTCATCGTCCATGATGTGTACAACTAATAATGGGTTAAGGTGGGAGGGACGGGAATGGTCAACAGAGATAGAAATAAAGAAGATTATGCACGGATTTGGATTTCACCAAATGCTTGGGCTTGCTGTACTTTAATCCTATCCTTGGTCGTCAACAGCAACACATCATAGAATCGTCGAGCAGCTTCGGACTTGGTCGCACTGTGTGCTGGTGCCAATTCACCAAAACTGACTACGCTCTTTTCGACGGTTATCCGGTTCTGGATTCCTTCCAATGTTTCGTGTGTGCTTCGGCTGAATGTAGACTGGCTGCTTTGTGTGTTGTTATTGTATTGATTGTTATAGGCATCGTTATCGTAATCGACAGTTTCTGGTTGTTGTTCGGTAGTTGTTGCTGGTGCTGGCGTATCTCCAAAGTCAAAGTCATCGAAATCCATATAATCATCGTCATGATCCTGTTGTTGTTGCGGCTGGTCGCTGGGTACATCTAGTGCTTGTGCCAAAGGTGATTGTGCTGCTGCAGCCATATCAAGCTCTTGTTCATTCAAAGCGTTGTCATCATTCGCATTGTTTCGCTTGCGCTTCAATTGAGTGTACAATTGACCAAGCTTGGTATCGTTTGAAAGTGCAACAGGTTTCTTCCAATCACGCTTGACACCTGTTTTACGGTTGCTTTGTGACAGGTTGACGTCCCGGTTGATGAGGTGTGATGTATCGGTAACATTGGCACGCAGTTGATCGTGTGGGATTTCGGTGACGCGATCGACTACCAAGCGACGGCGACGTTGACGGCGTGGCTGTTGAGCCACAGATTCAGCAGGCGTATCCAGCGGTTGTGTCTCGAACATGAGCTGATCATCATCGTCATCCAGCACCAGACCTGGTTATGACCCATTTGATTAGCGTTTGGGAATATAAAGTGCCTCATCACTTTGCCCAAAAGAAGAAAAACTTGAAATTACCAGATTGCATGAGTGAATTACCCGACAATGATTGTGAATCATCAAATACACGATTGAACTCTTCGTCTGCGGCAGTGGCGCCAGGTGCAGCAGTCCCAAATGCGGTAGTAGTAGCATCCCCACCAGTAGCAAACTGATTGTTATCAACATCCCCAAAATCGAAATCATCAAAGTCAACATAATCGTCTTGATATTGATCTTGGTCTTGATCTTGAAGGTTCATTTTGCTGAGAGGCTCGTTAATGTTGTCTTCCGTAAACGATGCTTCGCGGCCAAAGGTTTCTTCATTGTCACGACGACCCATTTCAACACTGCCAACGTCTAATCCATCCACATCATTCTCTGCTAAACGTGCGCGTTCGGTTTCGGCCGTGGGATTAATTCCCCAATCCTCGTCGAAGCCAAAGCCATAATCATCGCCTCCAGTGAATGAAATGTCGCTGAGCGTAATATCTTGTGAAGACGCGAGTTGTGATGAACTGTCGAGTACGGCATCAATCGTATCCATTTCCCTAATATTTCGTTGTAAATAGCGTCAGTTTGACATACTCTTTATATGAGACTTTTAGCATTAGAAAAAGACATTTACAAGTCGAGAAGAGGCTCGTCTGGTAAAAGAATATCAAATTCGGTCAATCGTTCAGGTAAAGTGATGCTTTTGATGCTGGCAACCGTGTGTTGAATATCCGGCATGTTGACATTGCCCTTTTTGAATGACTATTGTAACAATAGCAGGATCTAATCAGTCAGGCATTGTATACTTATATAGGTGTAATAAAAAATTGTATATGTAGCTACCAGTTTAATCTTGACGAGAGCTTCATTACAGTCTTCAAGCAAATAACGGGTCTTGCGGGAATAAATACGAACAACACCTAGCAACAGTTGTCCTGACATGCGCAGCGTCAATGGTTCTTGATCGTTGGTTGTTATAGCATCTGCAGATTTTGATAAAACACGGGAGTGTGGCAACAAATATTGGAAACGATGAAGCGTTAGTGATGAGGTTTCCATTATGGTTCTTCTTGTTCCCCCCACCCAACACCTTCTTTTCCCCTCTCTTTGGGACGGATTGGTGAGTCTTCGTTTTACCGATTGTTTTTTCCAGATTGGTTTGCAGAAATTGGGATTTGGAGACTTTGCGTTCCCAATGAGAAGCAAGCCATACGCGTGCCAAGGGACCACTTCCTGCAATTATGAGTTCAGACATTTCATATGTTGCGTGGTTTTTTAAGGAGTGAAAAAAAAGGAGAGGAAAAACGTTCGCGTTGCCCCAGGGTCTGTGTATGCGCAGTTTTTTTTTTATCACACGAAAGCGCGATGATTTTTACCCAGCAGCAACGCGCGTTGTTTGGAATTCGCGTGCGCAAAGGCCTGACAGTACCTTTTCTTTTTAAAGGTTTTATACTTGGATTATGGTACGGGTACGTTGTGCATATTGTATGAATCTGATTCATTTGAGACAAAGAGATACTATTGTTGTGTGATAAAGAAGAAGAAAAGGATGTAAGGATGCTACGGCGACTACAAACTGCTACTTGATTCACTTCCCCCGCTGCTCTTCTTGCTCCAAACTGTTCTTGTCAATTTCTCCAAACTTCAAATGACTTTCATAGAAATCCAAGAGCTAAACATTTCAAAATATACATGTAGTCGTTATTAGACAAGTCTTTGACTTTCTTTTTTACAGCAAAAAAAAGTAGAATACTTACGAGATGTGGCGCTGTGGTTCGTAACAGAAACGTACTGTGATAGGTTTCTTTACCGTTCGGCCTTTTTTAATCAAGTAAGACTCTTTATAAGCATTCTCTTTTTATAGCAGCTGTAACGCGTTTCTTTGTCTTACCATACAATTCTGGCCAAATAGTTGCCCACGGTATCCTCATACACTTGCGTGACTTTGGTCGCATCTGACCACTTGTATCCTTCCAACGGCCTGTCATAAACATTGCGCGTGACAACGCTACCCGTGCTTGGTCTCTTTCTTGTCGTTGCTGTTGCCGACTTGGGATCATTTTTACTTCTTTTTGTTACTTGTTCTTCTTCAGTGCTGTTGTCATTCAACTCTTCTTCCTCTTCTTCTTCTTCTTCTTCTTCACTACTACTACTGCTACTACTACTACTACTACTGGATTCTTCTGCATCTCCTTGAATATCTTGTTTGGGTGATGTAATGGATCGTCTTTTTCGCGTTGTTTGCGAAGAGGTTGTTTTCGGTGGTGATGATTTGTTGACGTTCGCATTTGCACTGATGGATCGTCTTTGACGCTGTTGTCGGGCTGGCTTCTTGCCTCCACGTTGACGCCAATAATCATCTATCAATTCTTGAGAGTAGCTATACACACCCACCCAGTTATTTGACATTAGTATTGACAAAGGCAAGATAGCTCTCAGAAGAGTTATTATAGGTACGCGCTTTCTTTCTCTCTCTCTCTCTCTCTCTCTCTTGTCATATTGCTTACATATCTTCCTCCTTTTCCCACGTGTTGTTTTCATCGCTGTAATTCTTCCACTTGATCAAGTACATGAGCTTGTCCTAGTAGAGTTTAGTGAAACGATTTTCAATTCTACCTTTGAATGTTCTTCTCTCTTTTTCTTTCCCTGTGTGTACATGTATAAGAATCGAGTCAAAAAAGAATTGACATTAAGCGCTTACTCGTCCATTATCTTTGATTTTGCGATGGTTGACGAGACATTCAACTTCATATTCGTCTTCTTCTTCGCCACTGCTGCTGGTACCATCACTTTTCACACTCTCTTTATTTGAACGGCCCATTGTATTTTCTTTTTGTTTGGCTTAATCAAAAAAAAAAGAGTCAAGGAGAGGAAAAAGGGCGTTATGCCAAAATCGCGTCGCCCCACAATCACCATATCTGAGAATGAACGGTTGCACAGTTTCATCAATTCAGACGTCCACAGCAAACTATTTTGTGTTGCTATTACTTGGTCCACTTTTCCTTCTTGTACCGGACTAATCGAAGCAGAGACAGTTAAGATTCCTTTGGTATAGCTATATAGCAAAAAGAGAAAAAGTATGGAGAGTGATGCTGCCACCAACTACATAGTTCTACACAGTAAAGTCCAAAGAGTAGTGTGATTATTAAGCGATAAAGCAAATAATGAGCATACGACGATCGTAAAAAGTGTGCAATCCTCATCAAATCCACTCACAACGACTATTACGGAATAGCAAGATGGATTTTATTATCTAAGCTAACACGACGCCAGCGACCTTCCACTTGTAGTCAAGTCCATTTGCTGACTTTATTCTTTACAAGTGAGCGTAAGCTGCAAAAAAAGCTGCAAGCTGCCCATTTTGATTTTTATCTCTACTTTCCTTTTTTTCTTACTGTTTTCTTTACACTCTCCGTTTTTTTTATTTGTTTGGATCCTTTACTGCAATGTCTGTAAATGCTTCAAAGCCTGTGATTTGCAAGCTTTGCGTTACTCATTTTAACACGAGAATTAAACGGGACGGGCATATGAATGTTGAACATGGGAGCTTTGCTGGATTTCCGTGTCCTTGCTGCTAAAACCATTTCAAGAATGCAAAATCAATGAAGAGGCATTTGGCGAAGAAATAGTTGCCGTGCACGTCAGCACTTTCGTCGTAAAGCCTTTGGAGAGCTTGTGTGTGTACAGATGTCAACCCCGGTTTTCGACCTTTCTTTCTTCTTTTGTCTAGTTCGCTGGGCAAAAATGGCATTCCACTTTTGAAACACTTAAAGTATCTAAGAGCAGTGCGTTCCGGCATTCGTAGGTTACGGGCAGCTTGTGCACAGCTTAAAGTCACATTTTGAAAGTGTTCGATGAGTTTAATGACGAAATCGTCAGTATAATTTCTGTATTTTTCATTTAGTAGTCGAATATAGTCATAGAAAAGTACATACGTAAAGTTATCCTTGCAAAGATATCGCAGAACATAAGCAACATGCCTCTTGGCTTTTCGACTTCTTTTTTGTGGTTCTTTTGAGGCCTTTCCTCTACCTCTTTTCTTTGATGTAGTTTCTTGTGAGATGCTTGCCTCCGGCACTTTGCTTATTTCACCTTCTTTTCCCGGACTACCCGGTGATATTTCGTGCTAGTCCGACTAAAATTGCTACGACGCATCTTTTCACTGTCATTTGCAGTCTTGGTCATTGATACAAGGGAGATCACTTCCGTTTTCATTATTATAAATTTCTGTGCCCACAACACGGTAAGGATCGTCAGTTATAAATCACTCCATCCACTAGATCCTCTGATTTCTCGGCTTCTTGCTCCACTGTTTCGCCGCTGTCGGCGTGATCAAATGGTAGCGCTGCGTCATACTGGACTTCTGCCCTCGCCTCGGACGTCTTATCTTCTCGCAGCATTGGAATGTATGTAGATTACATCATAGAAACATAATAAAAGTAAGCGTGCTTCAACAAGAGTCAAAGGCTCTGCCGCTTTTTATACGAGTTCACAATACTATGTCAAGAGCTTCTTGGCGCAAGAGAATAATGCAACCAATCCTGAGCACCGATATCCGAATATGCTTACTATAAGCATTCAAACATCCGATAGTGAAGTCGTCGCCGTGGGACGCGGGGACGTAGTTGTGGATCAATAGGCCGTCATCATGAAGCTACGGAGAGCCAGGATCAATAATAGAGAGGCCAGCAGCATAAAGGATCCAGCTGCCAATATAAAAAGGTGCATGCGCCAGTGTAATAATGTGGAAGCGCTTACATGTAGAAATTTCATTATGCGCGCTTCGCGTGACTCCTGAAAAAAAAAGGTCGTTGCTATGCTACTTCCAACACTCGCGCCCAAAGCCATTCCACAACCATGGTATATCAAAAAGAAAACACTTCAAGAAGACTTGAATCAACTTGCTTATGAAGAAGAACGATATGCTCAAGAAACCGAACTGTCATTAATCACTGTACCCTATGACGATGGCAATACCAACAATAACAATAATAGTGCCACAGTGGAGCAAGCAGCAACGAATAATAATAGTGTATCCCAGCAACATCAACTTTATCATCACGAAGAGCAACAACCGCAACAACACCAATTAGCTTCGTCACCACTATCTCCTAGTGATGTTGTTCCCATGAGTGGTGCTGATAGTTTGGGACTAGATGCAACACCACCAGTAGCACGGAACGATTCCGTGATTCAACCTCTGGACGATGATGTCATGATGGACGACGATGAAACGCCCGTGGTCAATTATTCTACTCGATACCTTGAACTACAACAGCAAGAATTTGATCATTCACCTTTGAACTTGTTGGCTGATGATGACGACGAAGAAGACGATTATCATGGAGGACGATCTATATAGTGACAGTATATATGTAAATATATACAAAGGTTTCTTTCTCCCTTTATTTTTTTTCGATATTACTCTAACTAGACGTTTTGTTGTATCAGATGGACAGCGCCTGCAAACCTATATATATCATTAATTTTCCCATTTTTTCTTGGCTCTCTCTTCACTTCAAGGTGTGCATGTAAATATACAAGTTTCTTTTTTCTTACCTGGCACCTTGGCTGTAGTATTGGGATGTAATCCCGAGAATAGCACCGTCTATTAGTTGGATATGGGAACCGAATCGGCTCTGAACAACCAGGAAAAAAAAATTGGATGGGTGTCTTTAGTGATAAGGATGTTATGAAAAGATCCTGGAAAAAAGTATAGGTACCATGGTATCTGCGTTTATCATGCATGTCACGGAATTATCTTTGAATACCCACCGGTGAACCCGGCCGCGTTCTACATAATCCCAAGATTGCGATTCAGTAAAGTCTACTATAATATAGAGAAGAGATAAAAGAGTACAAACCTCCGTTGGCCATGGGCTCGCCTACCCATAACCCATCATCAAAAAACGCCAGAGAATGACCCAAATGACCGGCTGAATCTTGGCCATTCATCTGATGAACCAAATGGTGGTTCATACCCACCGTCGTTCCTCCTTCATAATGTAATCGAGTCCAATCGTACACACGAACAGTGCCTGCTTGCCATTTGCGTACGATACCCTTTTTAGTTTCTTCAGACGGACTTGACACGGCCAACAAACGCTGAGTTCGATCCAACGTGATAACGCTTCCAAAATGTTGAAACCTGTGAGTACCAGCCATGGTCCACACAAGTGATACCCACAGAGAATTTTCGCTATAGACTCGGAATGCATAAACACGACCTGCACGTTCTTCAACGTTCTTTTTCTTCTTGTTGTCGTTGTTGTTACACCCTGGAGCTCCAACGAGTAGAATTTTTGCAGTAGAAGAAAATTCTAAAGCACTGCCGAAATGTTCGTACGGCTCTGGAGCAGTGTTGTATATAGATATATCGGGCCTGCCAGTATATGTCTTGTTATTTTTGCTGGTGGTGCTGCTGAGAAAGATATAAACTGCTCCAGCCTATATAGAAGTAGTAGTACAAGTATTAATAGCCATAATGAAGATATATAATAAAAATCAGTCATTATCACCAATTCTACGAAACGAGCGAAAATGACGTTCTTTTTACCTGTTGTTTTCCAGCAACAGCACAATAAGGACATCCAACGACCAAGTCTTTATGTCCATCAGCGTCGATATCCAGTCCGGCGACTACGAATCCAAATCCTTCCGTATTTGGCACCTCGATTCGTACATCGGGCGAAGAAGCAATCCCCAAATGCTTGCGTCCGTAAAAGATATCGACATGACCTTGATTGTCGTTGGCAAATGGTGCAGCCACAGCCAAATCATCAATACCATCACCATTGAGATCTACTGTTGCCATAGACCATCCGAATCGACCTCGTCGATGAGTTCCCATAAGGACGTCACGGGATGCGTTTCGGATATCATCAATTAAAGATGATGTTTGATGAGTGTTGAGCAATGTGTTTGTTCCATTCAGCACAAAGACAGCACCAGACATGAGTTCTTGTTGTTGTTGCTGTTGGCCATGATAAGGCGCGGATATGATCAGTTCGCGCTCGCCGTCTCCGTCAAGATCACCGATCGTAGTTGCGTGACCAATGGCTGCTGAGGATTCAGGCAATGACAATGTTATAGATGACATATCTTCCGTGTCTCGTCGTCCTCGTCGTTGGTTCTTATTGCCATTTTCTCCTTGATGAAGATTCACACAAACTGGCTTATCGCGTCTAAATTCGTGTATCGACGACGGTATTGATTGCTGATAGTTGAATAAAAGACTCTGTTGTCGATTGCCACGTGGTGAACGATTGTCGTATGATTTAGCTGATACACCATGGTATTTGTTGTTGTTAATGTCAAGGACGATAGGTAATGTATCCCGCTCCTGCTCTTGTTCGATTTTGTCGATACTGGCTGATGTCATGGTAGGCGTGAACGACAAGCTGAGGGTCCCGTGTTTATCATCAAACAGTTTCTTGATCAGTTCGTTATTGATTATTCGCTGAATGCCAGCATCATCGGATGATCTTCCATTGGGCGTGTGATGAACCCCTCTTATTGGTTTCTTGTCATGATTGTTGGTGGTATCCTCATCAAAATAGGATCCGCATAATGTTTTATGATCTGAATTGTTTCTTTCAAGCGCCTCAATGATATCGGGATGGCACTCTGCGATACTGGCTGACATATCTTGTAGCCCTGTATTATGTAAATAATTTAGTAAGTTCTGCTTACTCGTTTCACTTATCCACAGCAGTATATGTATCATGTTTGTTTATGGTTTACCTCCTTTATAATGATCCACCAGCTCTTCAATCAAAAACGGACTCTTGGACCCATAGTATCCAAACAAAAAGCGACCGAATTCTAAATCAATTCTCGACGCAGCAAACGCTGTGGTCATGCAATAAATAAGATGATCTTGATGAGGTATCCGCCTGCTGCCATTTGCGTCGTTTTTATATAGCCTTGCATAAATATTGACAATGTCACGCACAGGAACATGCCACGTTGCATTGATATAGTTGAGTCTTGTAGAATGTTGCAATGTGAATTCTGCGCCTGTATCTGCAGCTGTGTGAGCTTTTGAGTAATCACCACCAAAATCCATGTGTGCCATGGCTTCGATGAAATAATCCTTGAGTCCTTGCAAACTGTGCCACCGGACGTCGGCTACGTCATGCGACATGATGGCAAAGATAAATGATACAAGTCCCTATACATTATATTTCAAAGGATTAAGTAAATTTTATTTTCCACAAAAGATAAAGTTTGTAGCATACCTCAACATGCGGATCGCCACTTGTACGAGGGGCAGGATAGGTTTCCTTAACATAATCAATGGCCGTTCGAATAAAAGGGGCCCAATGAGCTACGCAATAGAACGATAAATCACCATCGTATTTTTAAATGGAATTTGTTAGCTTTGTTTTATCGCTTGATTCCTTTATGTGTATGTGTGTTTGCTGTGATATATGTACGTACCATCCTCTGCTTCTTCATTATATCCCATGCATTGATATCCCCTAGGAAGTGTATAAATGTCAATCAGGTTTTTTTGGCGGGGCATTCTTTTTGTGTGTTACCAGTCCGGAAAAAAAGAGCCGGCTTGAACGTAACCGTCAGATCGCTCCATGATTGATTTATACGCCGATTGCACTTCAGTCACTGGTTCGAATAGTGCTAAAGATCGGTATGTAACTTCAGTATGTATAGAGCTTTTTCCGAAAGAAGAACAGTCAGTCTCTCTTTTTCTTGGCAAAAAGTGTGTAGGTGGGAGAAGGAAGGGAACTTACATGCCACAGGCAACTGCCATTGAATTGAGCCATGCTGCAATGAGTAAAACTGTTGCAAACATAGTCACCAGTAAATATACATGTATAAAATGAAAGGGAGGTAAAGGAAAGAAAGAAGGTGAGAGAAAAAAAAAAAGAGAGAGAGAGAGAGATAATGAGAATAAATATGGTCGTGAGCTTATTTAGTTACTATGATGGCTTATGGGGTTCCCTCGGTGTTCTTCTACTCAGGCCCAGGTCTGATCGTAATAATATCCCTGTGCGCGTTAGGTTGGGTGGGGACCTAATGGCAAGCATGGTAACTAATTGGCTCATATGGCAAAAAACAACAACTTTGTACAACTGCGATCCCCATCATCGCCAACATCAGATGACCCATAAGCAACGTGCAGAATAACATGCAGCAGCAGCAGAAGGCAGCAAGTTGATCTGTAGTATCATCTGACAAGTGGAATGTGGCTGCTGCTGTGCCTACTTTCATCTGCATGACGTTATGCCCCAGGTTGTCAGTTATCTATGCGACAGGATAGGTAGGTCGGATAAGCACCTGTTTCATTTTCTTTTGCTTATATATACTAGTTCGAGTTTTCACAGGGACATATTCTGATCGGCGACAAATTTCATTGTTTCATGAGAGAGTGGGGTAATAAAAACTTGTTCCTGCTGGCTGTAAAGAACATGAGCGTAAAATATTGTAGAGTGTCATACTATACACGTTGGCAAAGAGCGTGAAAGGAAAAAAATGAGAAATGGACGTCGTTGTAAGCAAAGCGTACATTCCCATGTCACATTCATGCATATTATTGCTGTTTCTACAAAACATGAATTGTTACCATGAATAAGGCGGCATCAGCTACCTTTCACTAATGACAATGTTCCTACATATACGGGTCAAACATCGAAACTTTATCATGTCAACAGTATGCAGTCAAGTAGTATCAGTAGTAGCAGCCACCACATCTATAAATCACCTTTAAAAATGCAACTTGGATCATTTAAAATTAACGTTGAGTCTACGCTGGCAGCTGCATGAGCACACCAATAATGCAGTATTTTTCGTTGTTCTAGAGCTTGCATACTACCGAGTCATTATGTATGTACCAGTATTAAAGAATTCAAGGATCTACAAAACTCATATCACATGGATATAATACCATCTCCAGTATATAGAATCTTTCGGTACATAATCTGTCTTTTCGGTTCGTGCATTTGGATCGTGAATATATCACATTGAACCATCCTATTATCAGAAGATTTAAGGTTCCTTTCTCTTACTTTGAGCAGGAATGGATACAACAACGTTTCGAGACACTCGGTGAAATCTGTCAATGTTTGACAGCAACATATGTCGATTTTAAATACATGATAAAATCATGTGCATGTATCTAGCTCTGGTCAGTGATTGTTCCTTCTGGAAGAGGTTCGTATCGATATATATATATACAAGCATTCGGTGTTATATTCCATTACTTCTGAGCAAGTACTGGACAGCAAGCATTTTATCTAAACGCTGAAAGCGCATGCATATATGATATTAACGTGGTGAATCCCATTGCCGTTCGATAAAAAGGTGGCAAAAAGAAAAGATAGTGTCGTTTTCCTTAAACGAGAATGTATACCGTCCTCTAGCTGCTATGACAAAAGTCCAGTATCAACAACTACCCCTTTTTTCTTTTTCTTGCGAGATGTGCTTTATTAACGAACACAATAAAACATGTTCCGACCACTTAATAACAAGTTTTCTAGGGGAGAGAATTTACTGCGTAAGCATGGATCTATGAGCTGTAAATAACCCGAACCCCCATCATCTCCTCTCAAATTTTGGTAAAGCTGATGATGATATATGCTAGCAGTATATTACATAGTTCTGGAATAGCGCTTAAAAACTTCAGAAGAAAGGAGTCGTTCATGCACTCCTGATTATCTCGATATAAAAGAGCCACACCTGACGACCTGCCCATACATTGTTCGATTTTCCTTTCTTTACTTTCTCACTTAGCTTCTCAATACTTTATCGTGATAGTTATATATTACAGCAAGCATGTTTACCCGTAATTTCTGCTTATTGCTAGTAGCAACAGTCATTGCTATCACTACGACGATGACAACGACAACGTATGCCGCTCCTGCTATTGCTGATACAGACAGCACAAGCAACAACAGCAACAGCAACACCGATGCTGCTACTGTTGGTCGTCATAAATTGCACGTTAAACGCACTACCTCATCAACGTTTACAGAGTGTGCTGCTACAAACGAACGTGCAAAGGCTGTTAAAGACGCATTTCTTCATGCTTATAAAGGATATGCTCAAAAAGGAATATATGGCCATGATGAAATTCGGCCTGTATCAGAAACACCGTCCGATTCTCGGTAAGTAAAGACCAATACACCGCCGTCATTAGCCTTTGAAAAAATTTAGATACTGTAAGAAAGAAAAAGAACAAGCTGCTAACAAGTTAACGACATGAAATTCTTGTTTGTTTATGGCTTATGTATTAGAAACGGCTGGGGAGGTACGTAGCTGCTAGTTTAGCAATCAGATCGACATATGATACCACAAGATCATATATTGTCCTTGCTGCTAATAGTAATGGTCTGACTGCTTTTAATATCTTAGCTACGATTATTGACAGTCTTGATACCATGATTATTATGGGATTGGATAATCTCTACCTTGAAGCCTTGCAATTTCTAAACACCATCGACTTTACGCGATCTGATCAACTTTCCAAAGGGTTCGAAACCAACATTCGATACTTAGGTGGCCTTTTATCTGCTTACGATTTAAGAGGTGACCGTGTCCTGATAAACAAGGCCGTTGAACTGGCGGACCATGTCCTGATGCCGCTCTTTGATTCTCCTTCCGGCGCCCCATACACGAACTTTGATTTCAATACGGGCAAACCAGAGCCAACATCGACCATCTTGCTCGCTGAATTTGGAAGCTATTCTATGGAGTTCACACGGCTATCACAAATCACAGGCGATAAAAAATATGCGGAAACGGCGAACTCAGTTGTTGATAAAGTCATTGCTAAACCAAGCAGAATGCCTGGCTTGTATCCCAACTCCTGGAAATTGGACCCATTTGAACCTATCAATGATAGTAAGTTATATTCCGAGAGAAGAGGAAGACTAAGAGATATCAATTGTCTATGATATATACATATTCTTATTGTCTGTTATTGCTACAAGGCATCGTGGATGTTGGTATGGGTGGTGACAGTTACTACGAATATTTGATCAAGAACCATGTTTTGCTTGGGGGATCCAAAGAAAACCTTTTGAATTCCTGGATTGAAGCCGTCGATAGTATTCAAAAATACCTGCTATCACCTACAGCAGAAGATCCTAGCATTCAATTTGTCGCTACTAGTACGAATGGAACAGTTGGTTACCGATCAGATGAGCTGGTAGGAGCGAATTTTTTTTCACAAACTCTATCTCACGTCTCTTTCCCACAAGATCAAAATGCAAAATTATACTAAAATCCTTTCTATTGTCAGTAGATCTGCTTCTGGCCTGGCAACGTTCTTCTCGGAATAAGTCAAATGGATTCCGGTCGAGACAAAAACAAATATTTCAAATTCGCCAAAACGTTCATGGATTCGTGCATCAAAACTTGGACCACTACTGCAACAGGTCTTGGACCTGAATTCTGGACTTGGAAGCCCGAGGAAGCTGCTACAAAGAAGGGTTCACCTACTATTCGGGGTTCAATCAAGAACGTGTTTGGTGACAACAGCCATAAAGAACAAAAGCGAGAGGAAGAAAGTACACTCCTTGGCAAGCGAGCAGGAAATCTTGACGTGAAACCTTATACTATTGATAGCCCGGCTTACAATTTGCGTCCTGGTAATGTATAACATATATTTATGCAGCAGTGGGCATTATATGATGGTGATGAACCAATAGTGTTCTTGTATACTGATACAAAACGTTGCGGTATTTCGTGTGTATATAGAAACAATTGAAAGCGTCTTTTACTTTACGCGTGTAGATACACAGAATAGCAACTATTACAAAGTAAGTTTTTTTTGTCCGCTCGTCTTCGTTTGTAAAATTTATTATTTTTCAAAAAAATGAAGGAGTCATATTTAAACGAGTGTTTCTTATGCATACAATAAGAACATCGGGTGGGACATGTTCCAAGCCATCGACAAGTATACGAAAGTAAAGGCCGGGTACAGCAGCATTTCAAACGTCGATGATCCAGCGATCAGTGTCATGCTAGATTTCGAAGAAAGGTAAAATAGGGATGTATGATGCTAGTTAAAAGAACGGTTATTTACTGAGATAACTGATGATGTGTCTGCTGTATGATTAGCTTTTTCTTCACCGAAACGCTCAAGTATCTTTATCTGATGTTCACTGACGAATCGTGCATGTCCCTGGACGAATTCGTCTTTACGACCGAGGCGCATCCACTCAAGGCTCCCAAGGCCATCCGTCTTCAAAATACGTTTTAATTTGATATAAGGGCCTTAACCTTACTATTAATTTTAACTACTATGTTATAGTATTGTTGGAAAAAATGCTGAGAATATACCAGTGCTGATGCCGGCGACGCAGCTGTCTCTCTTGAGGAGTTAATACATACATTAAAAACTTTCCATATCTCTTTAATACACCACACTACTGCATTGACTTTTTCGTATATTCTTTCTCAATTTCAAGTTTACATAAAATGGTAGTCTTACCGCCTTACAAACGATAAAGCAACGAGACGCTAAGCGTACTACCAAAATCGTATGTGTCAACCCACAATAATCAACGGTTTTCGACACAGGAACACCTCGTCCAATATCTATAAGCGCTGCACTCATTAAGGCCTATGTTATGTGGTACGAATAGGTCATTTGAGATGACGGTCGCCGTGGGTGTAATATCCTAATTCATTACCACGCCGGTGCGGTAGGCGTTGCTGTATATTTAATGCATATGGTGCATCGCGTTGCTTCGCCCCGAAATAACTTTGGGGGATGCAGCTTTGGCCATACCAGACATATTCAATGTTGAAATACGTGCACACCTGCTGTATTATATACTTAAACTAGACGTATTACACCTTGTGATGATGCGTTTCCATCCATTTGATTTTTTTTGGAACTGTCTTGGCCGGAAAGATGATTCTGTGCTTCTCATGCACTTGGTCTTTTCCTGTATTTTCATCAACAATCATACTTATCAATTCATTCCACGAATACTACAGCGCACAGTATCCCTCATTGCGGATGAACCTGTAACCACGGTTATATTGGATGCGTGAACGAGCCAAGTGGTGGCAAATGCTGGTCTCGGTAGATGATTAGGAGTTCTCAACGTTGGGCGATCATGATGGGAGTCAAATAAGCTTTTTTTGAGGACCTTGAAGTCGTATAGTCTCCTTCTTCATTGTCCAATGCTGTACGTGACATACAGTACATTCACAATACTACTATCAGTTCCAGCTGATTTTCTAAAACCTTCTTCATTGCTTTCACAACATCATGCTGTGCCTTTAGACTTACGGCTACTATGCTGATAGTAAAAAAAATTAAGTAAAGGCGCAGATGGTATGGCAGAGTGAGATTAAGAAAGTAAATAATCAGGGTGAAGAAACGGTTCTCCATAAAGAAAGTATCGGTTGTTACATATAGCGCTCTACAGGATAGAGGTTAAAAAGTGAGAAAAAGAACCAAAGAAAAAGGCCAAGTACATACTTTTCCATATACATGCTCAACTTGATGCTGCAATATTTTGTAATGAGGTTATCCCGTATGCTATAATGAGACGAACAGCTTCATCTAGCTGTGTGAGCGGTATTTTTACTGTGGTGCCTCAAAGGGAATGGTTTCGAGCTTTCGAGTATCGGATCCAGCTCCGCAGCATTGGCTCGAGAAAGCGCGATTTTCTTTTTTTGTCACGGCGCGTCGTGATGTCAAATTATTTCGCGTAAGAACGAAAAAACTCAAATTCGGCGCGTTTTTTCTTCGTCTCGCAACCTTTTTTTTACGCAGCAATGTACATTAAACAGGTACCTCAAAAAAACCACTTATTTCGGCTTTAACTATCTTTGATAAATTGGAGTGAAAGCGAAAATGCCCTGGGGCTCTGTACTTATAACTGATTTTCTATTGTAACAGATTACGATTCAAGGGTTCAAATCGTACAAGGACCAAATAACTTTTGATCCCTTTAGTCCAAAGCATAACGTCATTGGTAAGAGGAAGCCCACTAAGCATAGCTTCTTTTCTACATTGCTGACTTGGCATAAAAGAGTTCTTCTAATAGTCTTATTTTTTTGTATAACAGTTGGTCGAAATGGATCGGGCAAGAGTAATTTCTTTTCAGGTATTTAGCACTTCCTTAACCTAAAATATTTAAAATCGTCAGCAGATAAGAAGGAGCTTGTGGACATGAACTAACTATTATATTGTAAATGTGTTAGCCATCCGATTTGTACTGGGCGATGCATATCAAAGCCTGAGCAAAGAAGAACGACAGTCGCTACTCCATGTAAAGTTTCTTTTAACTAACAGGCCACAACATACGCGCTTTTGACACGCTCGCGTTCAGTCCCTCTTATTTACCACTCTTGATATTGTTCGTGTCATTAAACAATATTAGGAAGGCACGGGCTCAGCTACCATTTCCGCATACGTTGAAGTTGTCTTTGACAATTCAGACAACAGATTTCCGGTGAGTTTTCTGTTCTTCTCGCTCACAATTTAATGTAGAATATAATTTACTTGAAAGGAAGTAGTGGATGAGGGTAAAACGACTCATAGAAAAGTATGTACCAATTCTGTTGGACGATGATTATAGACCGGAAAAGACGAAGTAGTGCTGCGACGAAGTATCGGATTGACATTGGATGAGTATTCTTTGGATAAAAAGAGTGTCACGTACGTATCTTTCAGCTTCAGAAATCATCTTGGTAGGACGACGCTGTAGAGCTGGGACTTTAACGTTGTATTATATTATATGTTGGGCACATATAGAAAAACCGATGTGATGAGTTTATTGGAAAGTGCTGGTTTCTCACGCTCTAATCCTTACTACATTGTGCCTCAAGGACGGGTAAGTTACTCAAGTTGATATTGGGGGCTAATAGTGATGGCCTGTGGTTTAGTGTACTGACTAAATAAATGTGTGTACAACATAGATCACGTCATTAACGGTAGCCCGAGATGAAGACCGACTACAATTACTCAAAGAAATTGCTGGTACTCGTGTGTACGAACAAAAACGAAGCGAAAGTCACAAAATTATTGAAGAGACTGGTAAAGTTATTACCCGACCAGAGAAAGAGAAAGCTCCATAATCGACCGTCTTTTGATATAATCTAACGACAAACGGGTTATTGATAACTAGATGCCAAACGATCCAAGATCACCGAAGTGTTAGAATATATCGAAGAACGTCTAGCAGAACTAGAAAAAGAAAAAGAAGAGTTATCCCAATTCCAAACGTTGGATCGACAGCGCCGATCCCTCGAATACACCATTTATATGCGAGAACAAATGGAAACAAACGAAAAGCTGGGTGAAATGGAAGAAAGTCGACGTGTGGATGTAATCAGCAGTGAAAACAAACGTAAAGAACAAGCTGACAATGAGGTCGCAATCAATGTAAGCTTTTTCAATTCATTGTTGCATCTTAGGGCATGTGTGTATCTGTGGGAAGCTCGTACTGAACATGAATTTCGACATTTGTTTATAGACTCTCGAAGTTTCAATTCGTGACAAGTCCCAAGAAATGAATCGATTGGAGACAGAAAAATATGAATTGTTGGAGGATAAGGAGGAATATGTCAAGGCCAAGGCAAAGCTTGAAATGTTGGTGATGGATTTAGAAAGCAGTGAACTATCTGAACAAGAATACAAGGTATGATACCAAGGACAATATTCATTGCAAGCAGGGAACAAAAGAGAATAATACCGATCTTTTAAAAATATAGACTAGATTGGATGCTCAACTTGAAGCTGTTGCAAACGAAATGAAACAAGTCGAACAAGCCATTGCCGATATAACACCCAGAGTAGAACAGCTGATCGGTCAGGACGGTGAACTTCGGCATGGTCTTAAACGGTTACTTGTGAAGCAACAAAACATCCATGCCAAGCAAGCTCGCTTAACACGATTCAATAGCAAGGCAGAGCGAGATCAATGGTTGCAGAGTGAAATTAATGAAATCCAAGGCAACTTGACCATCCGTAATAACCAGGTAAAATGCGCGCTCTAATATTACTACTGTGATCGTGTGTATTTCTATACCTTGTGCAATCTTGTGTATCTAACCTTTCCAATATACATGTTTTAAACAAAGATCACCATCCTTGAGACCGAAAAGCAAGAAGCTGAAAAACAAGTCGCTGAACGGATTGAGTATATCCAAAAAATCCGTGAAAAGCTTGCCAAGCGTCAAGATATTCTACAAAAACTCGCAGAAGAAGAGCTCAAATTGAAACAAGAGCGGGATGATGCTACAGAACAACGCAAGAAATTGTGGCGTCAAGAGGCCAAGTTGGATTCGGTGTTACACAACTGCACTGACGAAGCCAGAAAAGCCGAACGGATGCTAGCTTCCTCGGTTGATAAGGCTACGAGCAGTGGATTGGAAGCCGTTTCGCGAATTGCTCAAGCGCACAATATCCATGGGGTTTATGGTCCTGTCTTTGATTTGTTTACGGTTGACGAACGATTCAACACAGCCGTCGAAACGGCTGCTGGTTCAAGTTTGTTCCACATTGTCGTAGAAAACGATACGGTCGCCACCGAACTATTGACGATCATAAACCAAGAAAAGGCGGGTCGAGTTACATTTATGCCGCTCAACCGTATCCGCAGCAGTGCTGTGACCTATCCTACAGCCACGGATGCGATTCCATTGATTCAACGACTAAGCTACGATACAGAAAAATTCCAAGCGGTATTCGAACATGTGTTTGGAGGAGTGATTGTGTGCCCCAACTTGGATGTTGCAGCAAGTTATAGCAAGACCCACAATCTCAATGTTGTGACGCTTGAGGGTGACCGTGTAGATCGTCGTGGAACACTGTTTGGTGGTTACATGGATATGCGTCACTCTCGACTCGAGGCGGCGAAAGCATACAAGATGTGGAAATCAAAACTAGCAGAAGAACGTGAACGTGGTGCTCAGCTGAAACAACAAATTGGACAATTAGACCAGGAGGTCACTCGTATCCTGAGTGATCTGCAGGTGGTTGAAAGCAAGAGAAAACAATTGCAGATCCAAGGAGACACGAGTTTCCATGAAGCTAAATTGCGCAAGGAGGAAGAGACGATCAAACAATTGGTGTTTGCTAAAGTAAGTTTGTCTTCTTGATAACTTTCGGAATATGCTGATAAGGAGTGAGGATCCTCGTTAAAACTGATGTTCTGCTTTGTATAGGAAAAAACGCTGACCCAAATCCGAGCCAACGCAGCAGCTCTTGACCAACAGATTGCAACATACCAGGCCGAAATATCAACTGAGCCAAGCCAAACACTTAGTGCTGAAGAACAACAGATACTTTCAGAAAACAGCAAACAAATCGAATCAATGAAGCAGCGGATGGCTGAGGTATCAGCTGCCAAAGTGGAAGCGGAAAACGAAATCAACACACTCAATGATCGACTGGAGCATGATTTGAAGCGACGCCAGGAAGAATTGCAATCCAAGACAGAGCGGGCAACTGCGGATAGTAGTAGCAAAGAATTGGAGCGCAAGCGCAAGGAGATCAAGTGGATAAGCAAGAAGCAGGATCGATTTACACAAAGAATTACAGGTAATGACCGTTCTGCAAGGATAAGTACTATTGTATCGATAATAAGGATAATAGTAACAATGAGACTGATGGTTTTCCATTTTTAAACAGAACTGGAAACGCTCATTGATAAGCATCAGCAAGATCTGCAGGGATTGACGCAATCTTTGGAACAGCTGACGGTAGTGTGGAAATTTAAGGGGAAAAGAAACGCAACGCTCATCATTAAAGGGGTGATTCTTTTTCCTTATTGTTATGTAGACTGAGCAAGCCGATGTAACGCGCACTATTAGCAAGCATGAAAAGAACCTAGAACGGTACTTATTGCGACGGTCACTGCTCTTACAACGCAAAGAAGATTGTAGCGTCAATATCCGCGACCTGGGCATTCTGCCTGACGATGCACAAGAAAAATATGCAAAGCTTAATATAGGCAAGGTAAATAAGATATTTGTTTGTTTAAATGATGCTTCATGGGTGGATCAAATGTTGCCTTCAAACTTTCTAAAATACTTAATGAATGGTATTTTCTAGTTGCTACGCAAACTGCATCGGGCCAACGAGTCACTTCAGAAGTACGGCCATGTCAACAAAAAGGCATTTGAACAGTATGGCATATTCACCAAGCAACGTGATCAGCTGACAACACGAAAGACTGAATTGGACAAATCTGCAAGCGTAAGTTTAATAGGAAAGTTGTTGTTGATCGTGTGTGTGTGTGTGTAACACATGTTTCTTTTTGCGTTATCGTGCTATTTAGTCTATCCGTGGTCTGGTGGACTCCTTGGACCGTCGAAAGGATGAAGCGATTGAACGCACCTTTCAACAAGTTGCAGGCAACTTTGCTGAAATTTTTGAGACCCTTGTACCTGCCGGTCGTGGTGAGCTTGTCATTCAGCGCAAATCTGATCAGGTAAAAAGTGTATTTAGTACTGACAATGTATGAGTATACTGTTGCTCACTGTTAATGGATTTAGGACATGGAAGTTGATGGAGAAGAGGATGGCACCCAGCGGAGCATCGAACGCTACAGTGGAGTGGCAATCAAGGTGAGTGTGTACTTGGGGGAGGGGAGATGGCTATCCACCCTGCCTTGTCTCCGACTAGTCATCGTCCATCCTCCCCATGCAAGAAGGAATCCTGTGCAACTTTGCTTTACTGACTCAGGATGAAACGGGTGATTCTTGCTGTAATAGGTGTCATTCAACAGCAAATCGGATGAAGGCACGATTATGCAACAGTTATCTGGCGGACAAAAGTCACTGGTTGCGCTGGCATTAATTTTCGCTATACAGAAATGCGACCCAGCTCCGTTTTATTTGTTTGACGAAATCGATGCCAATCTCGACGTGCAGTACCGTACGGCTGTCGCCGAGATGATCCACGCCAACATGTCCAGCTCGGCCCAGTTCATAACGACCACCTTCCGTCCTGAACTGCTTGCAAATGCAGACAAGTTCTATGGCGTCACTTTCCAAGGAAAGGTGTCCAGGATCCACGCGATCTCCAAGGAGAGTGCCTTGGGTTTTGTGGAACAGGTATGGAAAGAGTTTTATATATATATATAAGCCATGTGTTTATAGCCTTTTATAATAACTATGTATATCTATGGTTGTGGGTGGGCTTATCCATATAGGAACACGCACATTAATCAAGAAAGGACCACATGAGTTTTACTCTTATGTTGCCTTGCCTTATCAGCACATTCCTTTTTTTTCACGGGGGCAACACACACACATAACATATCTGCACTTGGAGGAATAAGAAGAATAAGGGTTAAATATATACACACACACATACATCATAACTTTATATATGCAAAAAAAAAAGCAGAAACGGTTACAAAATATATATTAATGAATGCCAAAAAAAAACAAAAGAAAAATGGGAGGGTCGCATAAGGAGTATAATTACAAATGCCATCGCCAGTAACTAGCATCGCTTTTTAAGATTTGCCGGCGTTGGTGTTCTGCTGTATTAGTAGGAAGCGCGAGCCTTTGTTCTTGTTGTCGTTTCTGATGATGGTCACCTTGAGGGTGGATGAATGATATTCGTCGTTCTTGGCCAGTATCGTCAGCGATATTTTTTATGTCTTCGTCGTCGTACTGCCAGTGGTGGTCACTCTCCACTTCTTGTTCGTCTTGTTCAAGGTCATTAAAACAGGCGTCAAGCCAGGTTTCTTCTTGAATGCGATCCTGCTTGTTGTTTTCGTCGTCATCATTGACAGCCAAAAGACAAGTCAACAAGGTATTTCGAACAAGTACTTGACGGCGTAAGCCAATATTGAGCTTTTCGCCCTGCCAGAGCTTATGCAGTGATAATTGAGTGATGGATTGCTGTTGTGCTGGTTGTTGTGAGTTGCAGCGACGAGGGTCATAAACAATGTAATAGTAAGAGTAATAATAATTCATGATTATATCTATGTCATCATCTTTTCCGTTACAAGAACAAGAAAAGAGAGTCGCTTCAAAGGGGAGAGAGAAAAGACAAGGAAGGCCAAAAAAACCCTTGGTAGCCTTTTATATATGTCCAGTGTCCAGACAGAGAGAGAAAAACACGAGAAAGACTCAAATAATAAAAATTTGTATACGCCACCAATTCATTCTTTTTTCGGATGGGTCCCCTGGGTGTGTACACATACATCATCGACGCTAGAAATTACCAGCAGATTGCGTTCGGGAATTGGTCTGCGAATTATAGACAGCCATGCTAGATAGACACACTTTGGCTTTAGGAAGCTTAGTGAACCGTCTTACCCAAATACAGGCTGCATCATTGGGTCGGATTCATCATACAGGATCACAACCACATGAAAAAACCGTGGCATGCTACTAACAAGTTAGCTGTACACTGAGCTGAGGAGTGCATATACATGATAACCTCGCGTATGTGCTATGTTATTGTACTAAAGGAATCCCGCTTTCCAGCGTTGAATTACGGTCGACGTAATATTGGATGTTCGGCTCGAATTGCAAATAACGTTTCCATCAAGAGGATGTATGCACCAAGAAATATCGTTTCAGTTAAAAGCGTTTAGCCTGGTACACTCGCACTAGTATTAGATTATTAAGAGAAACCAAAAGTTTTTAGTATACACGTCAGTCACAGTCATTACGATTTACAGTTTCTTTGTAACGGTAACACATGGCTTCGAAATTGTATGGAGCGCATGATTAATTGGTGTAATGTGTCGACGGTACAACTTTATAAAACTCGACGATAAAAAAGAGAATAGGGTGCAACGTCCCCCACCCCCACCTGCATAAATCAGTAAAATAGCAGCTCACCAGACCATTGCTAAACTTAACCGACTCGTCTTTTCTTCGTCGATTCTATGATCGACATGTGTGGCAAGACTCAGCGCTACGGTTGTGATACGAACAACAGAGAATATGCGTTGTAAACAGAGACGCAAAACATAGTTCATTCGAGAAGAAGAAAGCCTTCTTAGCTATACTGCTGACGAGGCACAATGGTTATAGGAATTGACTGGCGTGTGGTGAACCCAGTCGACTGACTGCGAATTGGCACATACCTTCGCGTACTCAAAAAAGACCAAAAGAGTGTACACATCTGCCTTCATCTTTTAAGCGCCATTTTCTTCAGCGAGGCGTGATGGTCGATACTGGTTTCTGGATTGTCTGTGTAATAGTCGAGCTTACTGTAAGTGGTACCGAATTTGGTCATACGTACCTCACATAGTAAAAAGATCAATGGCCTATCCTCGCGCTTCCCAAATTCTCTCACTCGGCTGATTTCTCACGTCTTCATGAAGGCGATTATCATTGATCACAAGCAGTCTTTACGCACCTTGTTGTATTTTCACGACTTTTTGGCGAAAAAAGATCCCCGTGACTAAGGAACAAGAACTGATGCAAAGAATACAATATAACATCATAGGCTACTGGTGCTGCCATGAAACATTTGACGCATTATACTTATACTGTCCCAACAATAACATTGTCGTTGGCATCGACGGAGGATTCACGCATGTGCTTGCATAAGTATCACAACAAGACAGCACCCAGAGGGGAAGCTCCAACTGGATGGACATCCGGCGATATAGAGCTCAAGCCGCAGGGTTCTCATATATATGCGAAAGGTTGCAACTAAAACAGCCAAAATATTGGGTTAGAAGAACCTGGGTAAACTACTTTGAGAATAGAAAATCATGTGCTTTCCTCAGTACCTAATAAACAAGGGTCTGTCCTATACCTTCTTGTTCGTTTACTGTTTATGAATAACCTGGTTGGTAAAACCAAAATTTGATTATTTGTAACGTGAGGACTTAATATGCAGTGGTTTTCCTTTTAAAGTATGAGAAATAATAAATTCTTTGTTGAACTATCTTTCCATGGGCTCGCTGTGCACAGAAATCATTGCAAAAGCACAACCCAACGGTAAAGAGGTAAATGAGAATGTATAATGGTTTTCTTGAACAGTTTATTATTCTAGGTTCGTAAGGTCGAGCGGATGAAGATTTTGTAGCAGTGCTGACTTGACACAATCCCCTGTGGTTTCCTCGGCAACAAACGGCAACAAAAAGAGGTCCTTGAGCTCATATGCTTTGGCTAAAGGAATTAGTGTTAAAGACTTTCAATACACCTCAGATGTGTGCCGATGATAGCGTCAAGATATTCTTGGTAGCAAGTTGCAATAAGAACCAGGCCGATCAAAGTGTAGTAGTTGATGAGGAAGAGGTAATCGGAGAGGAAGGGTGGTAAGGGAGAGAATCTCAACAGCAATGACGTATCATATATCTTACCATTAGCTCGTATGGGTGCTCCATACAAAACGTACACCCACGAGCGTACACATAGTGTCAGTATTTCACCGCTTATCAACAGCACGATGTACAACTTGCTTTTGCAGTTATTGTCTACATGTCTTTTAGGTATCAGTCCGTTAGCTTCGCGCGACGTCATTAAGCGGTGTGATGTGTAGACCGATTCGCTAACGATGGTTAATAAGAGAAGCTTGCAGCTGTATACATCGTTCACTACTCTTTTCCCAAAAAGTTCACGGTACAGCAGTAATTATATCCACAGGTGCTATTGCGGCTGTTGTTTTTTCAACTGCAGCATCAAGTAAGCTGGGTGGGGGGGATGGTTCTCGTAGTAGCACGTACATTCGTTACCGTAACATTTTTTACTACAATGTAGCGGACACACAGAGACCGTATTGGAATTGATTAGAAAGCATGCAAAACAAGATCCGACTTGTGGAAGTTGCGGTCGTGGTCATTGCTGCAAGAGAAGCATCATTTCCGTTGCCGAAAGGGCGTCGGACCCAAACCAAGCTGTCCCGTGTTTGGCTAGACCTCTAGCACGTTCTGCGACATGACATGTAGCACTGTGGTCCGACATTAATGAGGTTTCTGTAGAAACAAAAAGCCAAGTTCTATATCCACCTTACCCGCTTTGCCGTACGGTATTTCCTTGGATGGCTCTTCCATTTGCAGAATAAAGCATGTAAGCGCTCTAGAATAAAACGGTAAGGACAGCAGTAACAGCAACAGCATTATCAAATGTCGTATTCTCACGTCAAAATAGCATCGACGTTGCACAAAAAGATTAGTTTTCTTTTTTTAGCTCAACGCAAGTTCTTTCTCCTGTTCTACAGGCTTACTGTGGTGCATACACACACCTTCCTTTACTCCAAATAACGTTTCTTTTTTGTTCCCCTTTCCCTTCTTTTTGCAGCTCAATCTTCTCTTTCCCTCTTCTCTTGGTCTGAACGCGCCTTAAAATAAGGTAACGACATACTCAAATAATGAAGTTTCCACAATTGGCCAGTCTGGCAGCCACGGCAGCAGTTTTGTTGCAATTCGGCAGCTTCGTTCAAGCCAATCCAATGTTTGTCGAGATTCCTCCTGCTGCGTCCCACGGCAATGATGCCTCTGATGCCACTTGCAAGGGTAATACTTTTCTTTTTCCTTCAGTGCCCGTTTTTCGTTCATCAGTGAAAAACTCACAACATTTTTCCATCGAATAGATGTTCGCATCACGTACCCAGCTGGTAAAGGTAAAAAAATACTCGTTATTAGCCAATATAACCTGGTGTGACCCTGAACGAGTTTTTTTTAATGCCTTTGTATAGAAATATCCTTTGCCAACAACACCAACCACGTCGTCACTTGGGACGTTCCTTCCACTACCACCCAGGTCAACTTGACTTTGGTTGGACAAGACTACGTTTCGTATCTCAACACTTTCCGTAAGATCGAGTGCTGATTTTGTTTTGTTATACCAGTCAGTGAGTGAGTCTTTTTCTTCTAACCTTTCTTGGTTTTTCTTTGTTCTATATTTTTTTTATTTGGTATGCAGCCGCGCAGAAGTTTGCATCAAACGTTCCCTTTGTACTTAAAAATGGTGCCCAACCTGGCGAGTATCATGTTCGCCTTGCAACAATTGGTGGCAACAGCGCACCCTGTGAAGTTGATTCAGACACGTTCGAGATTAAAGCCAGTACAGAACCTGCTCCAGTTCAACAAGAGGAGCAAACCAAGAGTGACCAGAAGCACGACAACAAGGATTGGGATTCCATGTTGAGTCAACTTGGTCAGTACGTTGACAAGGACAATGACGACGACAATAGCAAAGAAAAGAGCAAATCGTCGTCGTCGCATAGCAACGCTGCTTCAAAAGACGAAAAGACAGAATCGTTCGATCAGTACATCAAGGTATGTAGGCATAATGAACAAGCTATTACAACAGGAGTCCTGTGTAAAGATAGTTAATAATTTGTTTGTTTGTTCAGAGTCTCGACATGGATTATCGTCCTTACATCAACAACAATAAAGATACCGAATCCGACGTCGTAACGCATAAAAATTCTGTTGAAGACGACACGCCTACTGCGGCAGCATCAACCAATGACGAATATTTCACCAATGAAGACCACCGTACTCATGTTGATGCCCATTTGAACGAAGAATTGGGCCAGCTGACCAGTGATAACGGAAACGAACATGCGGATTCTCCATTCTTCCAAGGCAGCGGTGGTGCACAGACTGTCAACACAGATTCTTCGACAACAGATGACGGTGAGTGGGCAACCGATGAAATGCCTGCTCCGGTGAATCAGTGGGTCGATGAAAGCTCAAAGGAGAAAGGTCATGAGAACCAAGGTGTCTGGAACGAGGAAATGAGCGAGTTGAACGGCGAGCACGCGGATTCGCCATTCTTTCAGGGCAGTGGTGGTGCACAGACCGTCAACCAAGGTTCCTCAACGACGGCAGATGACGGCGATTGGATTGTGGACGAAATGCCTGCACCAGTAAACCAATGGGTTGACGAAAGCTCTGATGTTAAAGACCATTCGAACGAAGGTGCTTGGATCGAAGAAGAGGTTGATCCTTCTACTTTTGCAGCAGCCCATGCAAATCAAGATGGCGAAGGATGGTCCGAGGTCACCAGCGACAACAACTATGCATCTTCAGATTTCGATCACTCGAACGTCGGTACATGGATTGCTCAAGAGATCGACGATGCGCCTGAACCGACCACCACCACCACGCCGCACGTCGATGACTCGTCACCTCAAGGATGGGTCGCTGAAGAAGATGCACATAGCAATGAATCTACTGACATTCCTGATCATTCGAATATCGGTCAATGGCAAGCTGAAGAGATTGATTCTGATAATGATCATCTTTCTTCGCAATACAGCCATGGTAATGACAAGGTTGCGGATGAGAATGATTGGGTTGAGTCTGAATCAACGCATCCTGATGTTGCCGCAAGTGGTTGGCAGGAAGATACATCCGCGCACCCTGATGCCACAGGTGGCTGGCAAGAAGATACATCTGCACACCCTGATGCGAACGGTTGGCAAGAAGTGTCTTCGACGACTCATCCCAATGTAGCAGCAGACGGCTGGCAAGAAGAATCGTCGATCACTACACACCCTGACGTTGCTGCAGATGGCTGGCAAGAGGAAGAGTCCGCTTCACCTGCTCCACATATGGATGACAATGTTCTTATGTACTCAGCAGAAGAGCTAATTAACTAGATAGCTCGCACACACACTCACACATCATCCGAGTCATTCGTTTCCCTACCTTCGTACACATACACATTACACCCAATCACTCAACAACTCACCTCACATACACGTACACGTACTTTTCCTCCATACCCACACAACACTCCTTCTTGGATCTACACGAATGGTGAAGTCGTGAAGATGAGTGAAAAAAAAAACAATGATTGTATTATAATCTGCTATTCAGCGTGACGTTGTTGCTGTTGTTAGTGTGCTGTTGCTGTTGTTGAGAGAACGGAAAAGAAATGTAAAAAAGGAAAACGAGAAGGGGTATCGGCCAAAAAAAGGAAAAATAAGGGTGGGTAGAGCGACAAGGGATAGAGAGGGCTTATATAGAATCATGAATAGTAGAATGAGTAATTGGACTTTAGGAAGAGGAAGAAGACGAAGAAGATGCGGATGAAGGTCGTCGTTCCAATAATGATCGTAATATTTCATCATTCAACTCATATTCGGTGGTTTCTCTACGTTCTATGCTTTGCGACGACTGTTGTTGTTGTTGCTGAAGTCGTTGTTGAAGCTGTAGCTGTAGCTGTTGTTGCTGTCGCCATACTAGTCGACGTTGGTGAATCCGTTGTTGTAGTCGGTCCTGTTCTTGTTGAGAACGTAGAGCTGTTGTTGATTGTTGTTGTTGTGGCAACGATGAAGATAATTGCGGCTGTGGTGGTGGCGATTGGGCAGATGATCGACCACCGGTGATGGTGCTCGTAGTAGCAGCAGTAGTTGCAGTAGCAGTGGTAGCGCCAAACATGCTCAATTGCTCACGGATGCGTCGATGGACAGTTGCAATATCGCCATCTAAAATTTGAAGACGCATAGCGTGTGGAGGTTGCTGGATCACATGTTCGGCAAACTGTCGCATAACCTGGGTCTCAGGTGGTTCTTCGTACGTTCGGCTTACTGTTGATAGCACTGCAGGAAGTTCTGCCAAAAAATTGAAAAGCAAAAAAAAAAAAAATAAAAATTAACAAAACGGTATACCCAAAATAAAAAACTTTGGTGACTTTACCTTCGGTAAGAAGGGTTGGCAAGACTGTAGAATCAAACCCTGATCGAGCCGTTAAAAACTGATCCAATAATGTGGCCGTGAATTCCAGCTGTTTAAGGAGATCTTCCTTTTCTTCAAAACGTCGTTGCACTAGACGTTCCAGATTATCTAGAGCTGAATCGTTATTACTATTACTGCGGGCTGTGACACTGTTGTTGCTGTTCCTCCTGGTTTGATTACGAAGCATGTGTGCTACAGCTCTTGTTCGGCGATGCCCTGATGCATTACTATTGTTGCTGCTGTTTCGGCTGGTATTGTTACTCGTTGTCGTCAGAATACCGCTGCTGTTACTACCGGCGCCGTTGCGTACTCCTCGACTATTCGTAATGCTGAAAGGTGTTCGTACGGGTATAGAGTCCTTCTTTGCATTAGGTTCATCTCGAGGCTTCCACAATGGTATGCCCATCCCTGCAACGACAGAGAGAAAGGAAAAGAAGAAAGAAGGTGGGAACAAAGGTGGGGGGGGTAAAAATCTTTAATTTGAGGTCACGAAAAAATTAAAAAAAAACCCTGAGGGGGTGATGCACCGCAGGGAAGCATAATTTTTACGTGTACGACTATATACTGGATTTCCAGCTGTTAATTGTTATATATATTCTGGCCTCCTGCTTAGTATGCTCTTTATTTCATGTTACTCAATGTTATCGTTAGGAGATAGTTCTATAGCTTGTATTCATCGACAGTATGCACCATGACGCATGGAAAAGAGTAATTTTCGTCGTCATCGCGACTTCTCTCGCGTGAAGACGGTCAAAGATAAGCAGAGCGCATCGTGCTACTGACTGGTTTACCTCTTCTGTTGGGCCAGATTTGTTAGCACCTTACTTTTCTCTCTTATGTGGCTCTCTTATTCACCTCTGCTCTTGCCGCTCCCGACCGATATTTCATCCAAGGGACAAGAAAGACTGTCTTCCACTAACTCTGGTTCTGCCGTGGCTTTCCTGGCGCCAATGCCGACGCCGCTGCTGTCAACTTTTACTGAACTACTGTCGTCCTGGTGTCACTGCAGCATGTCTACACGCTCTCAGGTTTTTACTGGTCACGTCATTTTGTACACCACGTTCCCTTCTTCTTGTCTTGCACGCATACGCTACCTCTTTAGCTGCACCTTCTTCATTCCCTATATTATTACTTGATCAATCATTCATTCAGTTTTACAGTATTTTGCACTGACCAAGTTGTCATTACCCGTTTTGTGCAACCGAAGAGCTCACTCCACATTATTCAACCTGCTGTTATATGCGACGATTTATTTGCCTGAACAGCTGTAGTTTTTAGTCTTCAGTCAATAAGATGTCTCTTATACAGAAAGGTATAAGCTTGATGCATACTTTTGGTTGCTACAAATCTGTAGCTGGTAAAAGAGAGGTGGAAAAATAAAACAGGGTGCTGTGACAATTTTAAAGAATTGTAATGCTCAACAATGAAAAAGAGACTAGAGGTCTTCGAGATTGCTGCTTCATTCAAAAAAGAATGTATGATCTATCCTTCACTTGTTTTCTACAGCTATTTTGTTAAATACGTTTAAAAGTTTTGGTTTTATTTAACGTCTCTTTGAACACTGCGTCTGGGGGGGACATTTTGCTCGAGACAGGACTGAGGGGGTATGACGGGGTAAAAACCCTGTGTGTGGCACAGGGAAAAGGTTGTGAGTGAGAAGACTGAGTATCTGCTTTAGTTTAGCTGGATGAGAAGATATAGGTGTGGGAGATGTATAGTTGAAGACGTGCGAGGGATAACGTTATATGAATGGGGCTCTCTTTTTGTTTCTTTTTGTTTTTTTTTTCTTTTTTTGTCTGTCTCTTTTTTAGAAGTAAACATACTAGGGCGAATATACTAAGAGGTAAAGTAGAAATAAGATGTTGACCTACATTGCTTGCGGAGGAGGTGGAGTGAGCCAATTTATCAATGCTTGTCCAGGAGTTGGATCTTCGTATTGTTGTTGGTTGCTATCTGGATGTTGGTGTGCGTCAAGTTCCGCTAGAATTTGGCAGAGTGTTGGCCAAATTTTGGTGAGAGACTGTATGCGGTTGGACGATCGTGGTTTTGATTTCGGTAATTCGTTGAAGATCCAGCTGATGGGATCCTGGTGTAGTTGTGCAGATACATTTAGCCGCTGATGCATGCGCAAACAGTATATGGCATGTTGTTTGGTGTAATCTGGCGCGTGACAGCTTTTGCAGGCTTTCCTACGTCCACCTGGCAGCCATCCAATCCGCCATCGTATACAGCGACTTCTTTCCTTGCGAGTCATGGGTAGCCACATAACCGAATCGATGCCAAGTGTTGGACGACAACATTTGAGGAGTTTGGTGCGCGTTGGCGACAAACGGAGTGTATCAAGATTGTTTCTGAGGTATTGTCGGATGAGTTGTTTCAGGGCCGTACGGGAGAGATCCGGGAAAGATTCAGTGCATAGAGGGATGATTGGTGATTATCGCTTTAATTTGCTCCAGTAGCTACTCGCTTGTGCCTCCAGTGCTGGTAGGAGTGTTGGACGAAGTGCGTCCTCTGGTAGATAGGTTGCCCGATGTATGAATTTTGCTTGGAGGATTGCTATGCGTTCTGTCATACTGGGTAAGTTGGCGAGGTGACGCATGATCTTCGTTTCTGAGTTGGGGTGTGCGCCATATATCAGACGAAGGCATGTATTCTGGGCCTTTTCTAGGGTATCTTGTTGTTTTTTTGTGAGAGGGGTGATTGCTAGACCGTATTCCAATTTCGGTCGTATAAATTGAGCGTACAGTCGGCTGGCTAACAGACGCGATAGGCCAGACGGTTTGAGGCCTATGTTGTTGAGGATTCGCATACTGGTGATTCCTGATGCGGTATTGTGTTCGATAAGCTGTTGTCCATCAAGAGAACCGCTGTTGCTGATTGGGACTCCGAGATATTTAAAAGAGGTTTCATTCGGGATTGGTGTATCATATAGTTGAAATGTGGTACTTGAGTGTGTTGTTGGTTGTACAATCACACATTTTGTCGGGCTCCAACGGTATCCTGAATCGAGACTGTGTTGCTCACAAAGATTCAGTAAGTGTTGCATGTTGTCGTCTGAGCTGATAAGTACTACGTCGTCAGCATATAGTAAACATGGTAGATTTGGTAATGAGCTGTTGAGCTGCTGGGTTGAAGGGCGTCCTCGGCGTCTTGGTGCTGGTGGTGGTGTCTGGAAAGCATCGTCATCTTGGTGGTTTATTGATGGTGTAGGTGGTGTCAATTGGCTCACTCCTCCGCCGCTAAGCAATGCTGGTAGGCTATTGATGTATAAGGAATATAGGAAAGGGGATAAAATGGATCCTTGTAGGACCGCAGTAGTAGGTGAGAAACGGGGTGACGCAGCATTGGAGATCACAACTTCGATAAGCACATCGTTGAATAGATTTTGTATCAATAAAAGGAGGGGTCGGGGGATATTGTCTTTCAATACTTCCCAGATAATCGTGCGATCAACGGTATCATATGCCGATTTGATATCTAGGAAGGCTAATGTAGGTGTTACGCCAGTGGTAGCTTTATGGATTCGACAAAGTTCTTGGAGGCAGAATGCTTGGTCGAGTGCACCGCGTGCTTGTCTGAATCCTCCTTGGGCTATATCAAGGCGGGGGCTATATTGCTGTAGAGGCTCTTGGAGGCAATATTCCAGGATTTTCCTTAGTACAGATGTAAGACTTATTGGGCGGAAATTCACCGGGTCATCGGGTGTGCCCTTCTTGTAGATGGGTAGTACTTGTGCTACACGCCATGCCTCCGGGGTATAGGATCCCATCCAACATAATTGGAAGAGATGACATAAGAAAGGTGCAAGTGTCGCGGCGATAGGTTTTAGCATTTCACTTCGTACATGGTCGATTCCTAGGGCTTTCCTAGACGGTAGTCGTTCAATAGCAAGGGCGACGACGGCAGGCGTGACAGGACAATCAACTGTTGTCGCTGTTGATGTTGTATGGTTGTTAGATGTTGACCTTGTGTGATCATTTATGATTAGGTGACCGTCATAAACTGATGTAAGGTGTTGGGCCATAAGATTAGCTGCCTGTTGTGGTCCGTCTTGATGACTGAATGTCGGTTGTACTATGCGGCGATGCCGGATTTTTTTGATTATTGCAGTTGTTTTGCTGTACTCCTCAGTCTCTAGTCGAGAGCAGAAAGTGCGCCATGTTTGCCTGCTTCGCTTTGTCATAGCTCTGCGTGCTCTTGCAGCTGCCTGTTGGTGTTTGAGCCACCATGTCAGTTTATTCATACTATATGCACGTCTCCACTTCCGGTAACACAGTTCTCGGTGCTCGACGAGGCGCTGGAGTTCTACAGTCCATAATTCAGTGCTCGCTTGTTGTCCTCCAGTTGTTGCACCTAAGGTCGTATCTAGGGTCTCGTATAGTGTGTCATAAAATCGATCCGAGATGTCGTCGATGATAGTTGGTAGTTCTATACGTTGCGAGGTTTGGTGGGTGGCGCGTTCAATGCAGTTTTGCAGGTCGTTGTTGAGTGGTTGTAGCTATTGTGCAAATGTTGTGGTGTAAGTTTGTCGAAAATCAGCATCTGCAAGTTTACTGAGTCGCCATAATCTGCGATGATTCGCAGTTTGTTGCGTTGAATCCCTTGTGGTGAGGCGGTCAGTCTCATAGCTGAACTGAATCATTTTGTGGTACGAGTCTAATGATAGATCGTCGAAGATAGTCATTTGTGGATTTGTGCAATTTTGGGTACTTATGAATAGATCGATCATACTACTACCCGGGTGGCGGATAAATGTCGGTTTCCCATGTGCCAATTCCGCATTCCAGAGCTTAAGATGATGGTCTTGAAGCCAGTGCTGCATTTGGGTGCCACGTGCATTGGAAGCTGTGTCTCCAGTAATCGTACTAAATCTGGCATTGAAATCACCACAAATAATAGTATTGTCAGTGTTGGGGTAATGTAAGGGAAGTGAGTCTAAAATTGCTAATGCGGTATCGTTTGACATAGAAGGTGCTGGGGGGAGGTATACGCAATGGATCAGGGTGTTGGCCACTATACATGAGAGGTGATAATCTGGATATGGTGATGCTGTATTTGGGAGGATGTGTACTTGATAGGGGCAGGTAGGGTTAATGAGTAGAGATATTCCTAGGAGTATCAATCCTTAACAATTAATATTACTGTAAACAGTAAATTAATTTTAATTAAGGATTTCACTGTCAAGTTAGGCTGCGTCCAAGTATTCCTTGCCTAAAGGAGGGACTTGCTCATTACCATTCCGCTACTTAAGACTTAATTTAAACATAAAAGAAGATTATGTTCATAATAGTTTAAACATGTTTATATAAAACATAAACACATTTTATGAATTAAATAAAAATTAAAAAATAGCTCAAATGTTTCAAAAATAAAAAAATTATAATCTAATTTTTTATTTTTTCCTATATATTTCTAAACAATTATATATATTTAATTAATAAAACCTTTTTTAAATTACTGTTAAGAATTAATACCCTAGGTGACCACGCGTGGCCGTTGGTGTGGGGCGGTTACCACAAATATGGTATTGTTTCCAAGAAGTATAGTAGCGATTACGGGATAAGAGCCAAGTTTCTACAAGGAAGAGAAGATGGGTATCGGGTATGTGATGTAAGATAGAATCAATTGCCTGGCGACGCAGGCCAGTTGTGTTAAATATGTTTAGGATGATATTGTTATTGCTCATATTAATTAATCCTTTTTTTTTGTTGGTTTTCTCTTTTTTCTTCTCTTTTTTTTTTTAATATAGGGGTTGTGGGTTTAGTTGGATCTTCCTGACACGCTGTCAGAGTCACCAAGTTTGCGCTTCCGGTTGTCGTCACCTACTTCTGCGTCCTCCATGAAGTCGTCGTCGTCTGTCTGGTCCTCGAAGCAATAATTTGCTGCGGCTTCTTCGGGATCATCACAATGAGGTCGTCGCTTTGCTAGGATTTCTTTCAAATCTTCAGTAGCTATCTAGCCGCAGTCGTAGAAGGCTCGAGCTACTGCGTATTTCACGGGCTCTCGGATGTACTGTAGCGAGCGTAAAGCTCGTTGATACTGTAGTTCAAGTGCTATTTGGGCTTTTGTGTCGCTTGATTCATCTTTGTATTTTGGGTCGTGGATGTTCTTAGGATCGAGGGGGTCGAAGGTAGTTGTTTTGATGTTGATGGACTGTAGTTTTTCTTTAACCGTTGGTACATAGTCGTTATGGACTAGAATTCCGACCAGTTGTCGGGCCGGATATTGGATGTCGAGCACTCGGCTGTTGTCAACACCAAAGCGACGGAGATTGGCTCTGATTTGTCCTGCTGGTTGGCGGGCACGCGACGGGACATAGATATATTGGAAGCCGTGGGTTTCCGATGGAAGTTGAAAGCTGCGTGCGGCTGCTGCAAGCCAGCGTTGTTGCCTTTGGGGGGAAACAATGGGTTGACGTGGGTGGGCGCGTAGTGGATGTGCCCAGTCACTTGCAAGGCTGTTTGTAGGTGCTTCTGTTTGCTGTTTGTTGTTCGAGAGTGGAGGGAAGTCCTGGTTGTTCGCTTGGGGTGATTGTTGGGATAGCTGGTGACGGAGGTGCTGGTTTGTTGATTCGAGCTGCGCTATTTGTGCATTAGCTGCATTAAGTTCGTGTTTCAACCTCTGTATCTCTTCGTACATGGTCTCATGGCGATCCAAGCGTTCTCTTTGTGTTGTTAGTTCATTCATGATTTGGGTCATCAGATCTGTATTTTGGGAGGGGGTATCTTCAAGCTGCATTAGCTCTTGTGTACTAGGGTAGGGTAGGGTGTTGTTACCGTAGTCCTCGAGCTGCCGTAGGACTTGTTGCATTTCCGATGCGGTAAAGGTTTTGGTATAGGTGCGACAACGAAATTTCGTTTGTGGTAGAGTCGTGTTCTTTACAGTTCCTTGGCACTGGATCTGGGATTTTTGGCAGTGGCCATTGTTGCAGTTAATCGATTTTTCTTTTTGTCGAAGAGTTTGTCGAGAGATTTCAGTTCCTCTGTTGTTAACATGGTAACTGGTGTGGACTGGGTCGTGTTGCCAGACAATATTACGGTCGTCTTTTCAAGGACGTTCGAGACGTTGCTGTTGACAGACGGGTGGCTGATGTATAGGGGTGGTAGTTTCTTGGTTTTGTTAAAATATCTGAAATATTGAAGTGGTGATATAGCTTAACTTTTACACACTATTGGAGAAAGTGATGAATAGCGGAAAAAGCCATTTTGTTGAATACAGTGTTTTGTAAATGATTTTGCGCACTATTTTTTTACATTTTGCGCCTTACTTTTTTTTAGTTTGCATACCCCCCATATTTTTTGCGTATGATGGAATAATATTTGCGTACTTGAATAATAATTTGCGCCTTCAAATAATATTTTGCGTACCTTTTTAACATGGCCATCCCAAATCATTTGGTCAACAATTTCGAGTCAAGAACTGGTGCCAACTTCGATGACGACTACCCTTCAGAAGTGCCGCCGGAGTATATGAACTGCTTCAACGTCAATGATGAAATGGGCGTCATCCAAAACGAGGAAATGAACCCTGAAGAAACTCCAGATCTTTTCGGCATCACCAACATGGAGTGGGAGCAGTATATTCCTGGAGTAACAGATCTGCCAAAAGAAAGGGCTCCACCAGAGCCACCAGTGAGGAGGATTATGGACTTATCAAGCTGGAAAGAAGCAAGACGAGAGATACAATCAATGGAGGTGGATACTGTTGGCATACGAAAGGCAGAGGTCTCGAAACTGAGGGAAGAGAAGAAGGCACAGAGTGGAAAGAAACCCAAGACTGTGGCTAGACAGATTAGAGGAAATTATAGATCATATACCCCACAGCAAATCCAAGCACTATTAGATTTGGCAATCTTCAGTGGTCTCTCAGCAAGAAAGGCAGGAATTTTGACAGGTATCGTGGTGAGAACCGCCCAACATTATGTTCGTCAATACAGGCTCAAGGAGGATCCAGGTTGGCTTCCAGGCATGAAGATGAATTCTCTTGGAGGCAACAATCGCAAGCTGAAAGAGGAACACACTACTTTTTTGATGGATTTCTTTGACAACAATCGATCAGCCGTGCTTTGGGAGGCTCGCGATGCCCTGTATGTGAACTTCCCAGCATTGTCGATCGACATATCTAGCCTACATAGACATTTGGTCAAACACTGCAGCTTGACACTGAAAAGATTGAACAAACATCTTGCCGCAAGAAATGCCCCCACAACGATCGAGACAAGAGTTGCTAGGATAAACGAATGGATGGCTGATCTAGAGATGGATTATGCCACCAATTGCGTATTCGTGGACGAAGCTGGATTCAACATGCACCTTAGAAGAAACTTTGGACAGTCAATCAAGGGAGCCTCTGCTAAGCAAGTTGTCCCTTCAAACAGAGGTGTATCAATATCCATTATCGGTGCCATATGCGAGCTTGGTGTTATCGATCTGACGTTAAGAAAACCAACGCCGGTAACAAAGAAGTCCACCAAGGGCAAGAAGAAACGGAAGAGAAATGACGATTCTGCAGAGGAAGCAGTTGAGGAGGTTAATGGAAGGGTAGGCACTAGAGCTATTCACTTTCTAGAGCTCCTCGATGGCGTCTTGACATCCCTGGATCAGAATGGCTAGACCGGCAGATACATCGTGATACACAACGCAACCATACACAAGACGGATGGAATTCGAAATTACATCCAAGAAAGAGGATACAAAGCAGCATACCTACCCCTATATTCCCCGTTCCTCAATCCTATCGAGGAATTCTGGGCTAAGGTGAAAGCTGGTGTCAGACGAGATTGCTTGACAGTCAAAGATAATCTCAGTGAAAGGATCACAGAGGCAGCAAAACGAGTTACAATCGAAGACTGTCAGGGTTATATCAGGCACTCCATGTCTTTCTTCGACAGATGTCTAGCTGATGAACTAAATCTTTAACTCACAAATCAATAAAAACTCGATACGCAAATATTTCTTCCAGTACGTAAATTGATATCTCAAGGCACAAAAATTATTTCATTATACGCAAAAAATATAGGGGGTACACAAACCTTAGTGCAAAATTTATTAGGTGCACAAACTAAAAAAAAAGTAAGGCACAAAATAGAAAAAAATAGTGCGCAAAATCATTTACAAAACACTGTATATGTAGCATCGACCAAACCACCTCATGCTTGCTTGTTGAATTGCTCAATCCCTACCTCGTTCTCCCTCCTTATCATATTTACATTCTCAATCTTCCTCGTTCTACTTCCATATATCTTTATCCACATAACATAACACATTTCAGTCTACTTAATGTAGTTATCCATCATCATTGAAGTTATCAATAGTAAAACATATAATTATCCATTGAATAGATGATTCAGGTCAGTATCTATTATCAATTCTAATCAAGATCATTGGCTCATCCTAATTCTGCCCTCGCACTGATTACATGGTGGAGAAGCTGCTTCATCCCACTACCTATCCTTTACCCAAATCCCTCGCACTGGAAAAAACGGCGTGTACTCAACTAATATTCAACCATTTTTACACGTTTAATATCAGCATGTATTCAACTGATATTCAACTAATATTCAACCACGTTTGTGTTACGCTGATATTCAACTGATATTCAACTCTTTATGTATTCAACTGATTGTCTATCGCGAAGCTCCAGACACTGTCCTTCGTGCTTGTAGAGCTCGTTTCGGTGTAACGGCCGCTCGAAGAGCGCTCACAAACTTTATTTTTGTATATATATATATATATATAATGATGAATAAAAGAATTTGTCTCTCTTTAGCCGTTTGAAAAGCGCTGCAGACTTAGCACGCATTTTCATGAGTGAGACCGACAACCCATCTGCACTCATTGCACAACTTCTTCCACTTCTGCGAGCCGAACTTGCTATCAACAACGCGTCTCTAGATCCAACCCAGCACCGCACAGCAGATACATCTGAGGACAACACCACCGATACTGCCGAATCGGCCGTCCGCGCCTTTCTCAAACCACCCAAGGACTCTGAAGACTACCAACTCGTCCCAGCTCATCAAAGTCGCTCGTCCGGCACCTACAACATTCCAGACAGTGTGCAAGAAGTATTCAATTTCTCACGTTTAGACAACTATCTCTCCAAGACCACACTTAAAGAGATCAAACAAAGAAATCCGGAACCATATCATGGGATCCTTAAGACCCAAGAGATCGATTCAGAACTGCGTTCTTGCTTCACACACGAAGCTATCAAACGAGACAAACTGCTCGCCAATGTCCAACGAGACATCTATGTTGGACTGCGGCCACTCATATTCATCCTCCACTTTATGGAGGCGCACCCGGACCTTGTCGCCGAAGCTAACTCGCCACTCTTGGAAGCATTTGTCCAAAAAATCCAAGAAACCATCATTTTGGAAAGCTATGCAGCGGAACGCATCAGGATCGAACGACGTCAAGCTCTTGCAAAATCGGCAAAATGGGGCGCCGCCTTGCTCTCAGCATGCGAAACCATCGACAGCAGTGCCGAGTTGGACAGCGAACTCTTTGGGCCCGAATTTCACGAAAGGTTCCATGCTGAGGCTAAAAATCGCAAGCATCACCAACAGCTCTCTCATACAAAAACTTCGTCAGCTACGTTCTCTCAGCGCAACAATTCCTATGGACGTGGGCGAGGATGCCCTCGGGGCAACCGATCCTTCGGCAGACGTCCGGGCCGCCCCCAGGGAAATGGTTGGGGAGGTGGATCCGGCGCCTTCAACACCTCCATCAACAAGTCCAAGTAATGTTACTCAAATGGTGCCAACTACGAGCCAAGCACTGGTCGCACAATCTCCGAGCGCGTTGGATACACAAAGCACGCGTTTTTGCGACACAACATCTTTTGTCTATCATTCACAAATCTCCGGTAGGCGGCAGACTCGCTCAGATTTCCCACAAGCATTTGGATCCGCCGGGGGATTACAGATCCTTGGACACTTGCTCAGAAGAACGGGTTAAGGCGCATCCCCTTCATCACCACTCTGCCGTACAGCATGGGTTCGCAAGATCATTGCCTTCAAATGTCGCACAAGGAGAGCTTGCTCATGGACCAGGCAGTCGACAATTACTTGCAGTTGAACGCGATAAACGAGATACCGTCATCAGCAGTTCAATTCCAATCATACCTTTTCCTCATTCATCAAAAGAACAAGGTTCGCGCTGTATTAGATTGTTCAGCGGTCAACAAGTATATTCAATATCAAAAATTCAAGATGGAAGGCATCAGCACACTATGGTCCCTGGTACAGCAGAACGATTGGTGTATCAAGGTCGATTTGGAACAAGCTTACCTGAACTATCCACTACACCCCGAGGATCGCCGTTTTCTCTGCTTCAAGTGGCGGGACAAGTTCTACCAGTTCAAGACGTTCTGCTTTGGGGTCGCACATGCTCCTCGCTTATGGACAAAACTCATGTCACGGGTACTGCAACTGCTCCACGAACAGAAAATCTGATTAATCTTCTATCTGGACGACATCCTCCTCCTGGCATCTACGAAGGAACAGGCACGACAACAAGGCTTGCTTCTCAAGGCTCATCTTACCCAACTGGGTTTCAGCCTCAGTCCCACGAAGTGCTGCTGGCAACTGACACAAGTACAAACATTTCTCAGCTTACAAATCAACACCAAGATGATGGAGCTTCAGCTCCCACAGACCAAGTTGCGCCGGGTGCGCAAGGATATGTATCAACTTCTTTGCCATAAGACCCTGTCCAACCGCAAGCTGGCAGCAATTTTGGGGTATCTACAATCGACCACAGCAGCGGTATACCCAGCACGTCATCACATGTGGAACTTATCGTGCGACCTCTAGGCCAGCTTACACCGTCACGCTCATCTTCCGTCGCGCAAAAAATGGGAACAACATGCAATAATCTCCGCAGCAACCCAACAAGATGCCCTGTGGTGGATCAACAATCTACAAGCTTGGAATGGCCGATCTATGCTCGCTCTTCAGCCAAACGTCGTCATCGACACCGACGCCAGCGATTCTGGTTGGGGCGTCGCCACAAGAAAAACAAACTCTGCTACACATTACGCAACAGCATTTGGTACCTGGGCACCTACCGACCAAAATCAATCAATCAATTGGTGCGAACTTCGGGCAGTTCTACACGCTATCACTCAACACGTACACCAGTGGCAGCATTAAGTGATCGAGGTACGGTCTGACAACATGACCACTTGCGCCATTATCAACAAACAAAGCAGCTATCGACACCAACATTTGCACCAGCTCCTCGCTTCGAAGATTTTCGACCTCTGTCACCGCTACCATACGCGTCTCTTTGCAACATACCTACCGGGTCAACAGAACACAGTAGCCGATCGTCTCAGCAGATTGACAGCACCATCTCAATATCCCCAAGCAACAGCCAGCTTATCTGCCCTGTCCTTCCAGATGATTCAACAAGTCTTCGGTCCGTGGACTGTCGATCTCTTTGCAACCTACCACAACCGCAAGCTACCACTTTTCATGAGTTGGTAACCGGAACCAGGAGCGTGGAAGACCAATGCCATGCATCATCAGTGGCCAGCTCATGCATACGCTTATCCTCCATGGATAATGCTGAACCATGTCCTCTGCAAATGCCGAACAGAACAACCACAAGATCTCGTTCTAGTGACACCGCATTGGAGCACCCAGTCGTGGTGGCCTCTGCTACAAGAACTGAAGACGAGCTCTCCGCTCTACCTGCTGGAAGGGACAGTAGCTTGGCGCTTAAACGGCGCCGCGAACAAAATAAAGGACTCGAAGACGCAGTAATCAATATTATGGGTCAAGTGAAAAAAACCTCACACGATCAGACAGTACGCTTACGCTCTCAATCATTACTTCAACTGGTGCGCCATCAAGGACCTAAACCCGGAACAATGCACATGGCAGCAACGCCTTGCGTGTTTAGCGGATTTATGCACGCAGGGTCTCAGCATCAACACGTTGCGTAGCGTCCATACTGCTATTTCAGCTTGCACATCGGACATTCGAGGCACCGCATTCAGTGAGCTTAGGGAGGTCCGAGAATTCATGAAAGGTGCTTCCAACCTCCATCCTCCTGCTCCTCGCGATCGCACGGCACGATGGGATATCTCGTCTCTGGTGGCTCATCTAGCAAGCATGGCACCTCTCGATCAACTTTCACTCAAGGATTGCGGTCGCAAAGTTCATGCCTTATTATGCATCGTGACCAGTTGGCGACCAGGATCTGACATGTCAAAAATTCTCAGCTCAGTCCTCTTTCGACCTTCTTCGAATCCGGCCTAGCTAGCTGAAATGCAACTGACAGCAGTTGATGTCAAAGAGGGTGGCGACAAGATTTCAACTTTCATTCCATGCCTCACTGAAGACCAAGCTATCTGCCCCGTTTGGTGGACATATCAGTATTTACAACGCACACAACCGCTTCGCCACAACACCACACGTCTGTTCGTTGCCGCCACAGCACCGCATCAAGCTCTATCGGCGGATCGCCTCCGCAATTGGCTCCAGGATACAATGCGCGAAGCAGGTATCAATCCACAGTTTACAGTACACAGCATTCAAGCGGAATCAGCAACCACAGCTTTAGAAGCAGGCGCCTCTATCGAAGAAGTGCTTGCCGCCGGTAATTGAAGCAGCTATACGACTTTCGAACGCCATTATCATCAGATGCATCGCGATGCCATGACTTCCAACAGCTGAGCACGAACATTTACTTACTTGCACCTCAACAACCGCACTAGGCGCTGGACCGGTCAAGGAACATAATCACTGCCAAACAAATACAAACTATCACCGAAACGAGCTCTACGAGCACAAAGGACCGTGTAAAATTGCCGAGCGAAGCGAAGGCTATCGTCCCACTGTCCGAGGGCGAGGATAGTGATTTGAGGTGTCCCCCCCTTCATTCATTTCTTTTAGTTAGTTTCCTTGTATTCATTCCTTTTGACATCGACATTTTCCAACTATACACCCCCCTTCCATATTATCTTTTGCACGTCTCTTGCCACTTTTCAAACGGCTAAAGAGAGACAAATTCTTTTATTCATCATTATATATATATACAAAAATAAAGTTTGTGAGCGCTCTTCGAGCGGCCGTTACACCTCAACTCACTCTGCTCGCCCTCAGACAGTGGGACGATAGCCTTCGCTTCGCTCGGCAATCTTACAATTGAGGGAGTCCATCGGACTTCCTGAACCTGAACTGAAGAGTGCTGTGATCATATCTCTCGCTTTATTGCCAAACATATAAAGAAACATAACGAATTACAATGAGTTATAATAAGAGATTTTTGTCTATAAATTTTTTGTTCTCTGGAAAACATAATCCTTGATCATTTTTCTTTCGCTAAGCTGGTCATTACCGCTTTCACTCATAAGATCCATCATGTCTGAGCAACCTTTGGGTACAGACCCGCAGCTTCAACAGTTAATGGATCAGTTAGCACAACAGCAACAACTTATCGAGGTGTTGTATCGCTCACGCAACACCATGCAGGGACCAGCTTCTACGTCGGCACCGGTGACACATGACCTACCTTCAGACGTTCGTTTAACTGGTCTCCTACCCCTACCTTGGCCACACTCATGCCCACTTTAGAAAAATCCTTTTTCACAAGCATGCTCGCTGGTGAGGAGTGCAAGCAAATAATTGAGCGTTATCCACCCATCTATGGAGTCAAATACACACCACCAGCCGCTGTGCCGTAAGCCGCTCGTTTGTATTCCAAGAATTAATCTACTGAGGATACTATGTTGTGAAACCTTCAATATTCACTGTCTGCTATTTTTCGCCCATTAGATATCCTTGGTTACATCCTACTACCGATCGTTCCCCACGAACATGTTGAGCGTGTCTTTGCAAACCTCAATGATGTGTACACATTGCTTTTATATCTGGGTGGTGCCCTTAATCACCACTGCAATCAACTGGCTCTCCATGTGGTCCATCCAACGATACGTCAACCAATACAGTACTTGTATTCAAGTAGTCAATCTTCTTGTTGGGAAGCATCATTATATTATAGGATGCAGTTATCAATATGTCTGCTATAGAACTATAACATAAAATGCTTTTTATTGTGGGATTATATTTTATACTCAAGAGTAAAGGATAAGTAAGCTATAAGCGATATATGTAAAAGGAGTAAAGAAGCAGCAACAGTACAATGAGAATGGACAATAGAGGGTGGCAGTAAGAGACGAGATTTGACAAAGACTGAAAAAAAATTGAGAAAAGAAAATCGAAGGAAGAAGAAAGAAGTAAAAAGAAAAGGGAAAAAGGAAAAGGGTTAGGGGCATATAGGGAAGTCGATTTTCAACCACACTCTAACCATTATGTGGATATACCTCAAGATAGTTGACAGAAAAATTTAATATCTAAAACAAATAAAAAAATAGAATTTTAACATTAGAAATAAAATAACTTCAAAAAATATTATTAATATTATAATAGTAAAAAAACTATTATTACATAATATAAAAATAGCTCTTCTTAACAAATGGATTTTATCTAAATATTTAGCATATAGAAGATTTAATTTTTGTAATAACTATAAAAAGTTCTTAAAATGATATCTTTTCAAATTTGAAATTACATTTTATATATATTAATAAAAGGTCTAAAGATAATGATCAAGTTGAAAATATTATTAAAAATTAAAAATCAAAGCTATAATATTGAAAAAATATATAAAAAGAATATATGATTCCTTTTATTATTGTTATACTATATTTAATATTAATCATCTATCTCATTCTTATAAATGAGAGCTTATATATTAACTAACACCTCTTTCTTCTTCTTTGTTTCAGTCTTTAAATCTTTGATTTAAACCTAAGAACGAAGTTCTTCTAGGATCTTTAGATCTGACAAAAAGATTATAATAATAATTATAAGAAAAATACCTCCTGGTATTTTTCCAATATAAAAATAAAAAATTAAATTAAAAATATAAAAATACCCACTAGTATTTTTTATTTTTCTAAACATTATAATTATAATAATTTACTAATGATATGAAAAATACCAGGGGGTATTTTACTATTGATAATATTATTTTAAAATAAATTAATTAAGGATTCGCTTCGCTTATAGAAAAAACTTCGTTTTTTGTTTCATCTTCGATGAGACTGGAAGGAAGGAGAAGAAGAGGAGAGTAAATATAAATAATATTATCAAGATATTATAAAAGTTCAAATATTGATTATTATCTTCTATTAAAAATAAGTTGATACTTAGATAATCTAAAAGATAATCAACCCAATTGGGAAATTGTTGCCGTTTTAAGCATAACTTTTGATGGGTCCGCTCTCTTTGTCGCGTTATTGTCACGTTCGAACTTAAACATTTGTTGTCAATCTCCAATTTTTTTACTAAGCTATGAGTTCTCAAGGAGATCATCAGGAAGAGGTGTGTTGCGTTGTATTACCCGCCATTTACCAAGACGAGCAAAAATCTCAGGCATAATTGGCTTCACCTGCAGATCGCAAAAATGTTCGTCGTATAAGTACTAATTCACTTCTGTAAAACCAGATGGAAATGCCCATTCGAGCTTGCATTTGTGGGTCTACCACCCATTCTCGAAGAAGTTTCCACAGTTGTCCACTAAATGAGCGTATAGTACATTTCACCTATAATCACCAAAACCTTAAATTTTTTCAAATTTCTGATTTAATATTCTGCTTCTTTTTGGTAATACATGTAATAGTGCTTCTAATCATTCCGACCAACGTGACGATGGGAAGTTAATATCTTGGAAGAGTATCTTGTAACAATTTTGAATGCTTCTTGTATTGGTTTCTCTAAGAGAAAAGGGTAAAAGAGGCAAAGTAGATCTGATTGGCTATTTCATTTGTATGTGATTACCAATAACACCAATGGCTCTTGTGCTACCATTTCAATTTTCACCATCTACCTGCTAAAATCCCTGAAATTTACTCTTGACCGACCAACTTTGAAAGGCTTCAACTTTCTTTACAAGTGGTTTTTCAAACTTCTACACTTTAATAATTATTTATAATAGGTCCAAAAAGCATTCTTAAAGTATAGTTTTGTAATATCTTGAGATAGTGAGTCCCTGAAGCTTTTCAAAGTCCGTCTAAATTATCAGCGATTACAGGTGAAATGTACCATAATGTTCGACGCAGAATTGAGGAAAATGATGATAATAACGTACTGTCTTTTGAAAATGATGTATAATTGCTTTAGCTTCAGCTGCTTTTTGTGTACTTATGAGCTATACCTTTTGTGTGGTTGCCAAACACTTTTCGTTTAGAATATTGACCCTATCCGCTGTTCTGGCTGTGGCTCTACTACCCATAATAACCCTTCTGATTCTGAATGTCCAGATAGTCTTGATAACATGGTGGAAGGTATACTTATTATTATACCTGTCCATGTTTTTTAGATCTACTATTAATACGAGACATATTTAGAAACTTTGGAAACGTTTGATGACGACATTTTAACTGTCACTTCTACTGCAGAGGAGATAATGTCAGATGATATACTTGAGCCTGACAATGCTGATGACGGCGTGGTAAATGTTCCAACAGCTGTTGAAGTTCCTCCTGTTCCTGCACGCCAATGTACCAGCTGTGGATCGCCGGACCATAGACGTTCTTCGCACGCTAATTGCCCATTCAATTCACGCAATGTCACCTCTGAACATGGTGCCTAATACCAGACTGCATGCAGGGTGCCTTTTGTACCTCAAAATGTATTTGGCTCCAAAATTTGCTTCACGCCTAACAACAACTACTATCGTCGTCATATCTTCGAGTCTATGAATGTCGAATGCTCTTTTTGTCACGCTAAAATGTGGAT